GGTTTTGGAAACTGAAGGAGCCAAGCTAAATGTTTTCCGGTCTATCCAGTCTTTGTGCCAAGTCAAACTAACTGACTGCAGGCTTGAGCACATATGTACCGTACAGATGTGAAGATGTCAGCCTTCACATCTAATCAGAAGTACAAACAAAAAACGGAAAAGCTGAAGACACCTTTACCTCCCCATTTTAGTGCAATTCTACTAAAAGTGAGAGTAGGATGGTTTCGGAAACATTTTTTTGCTTCTTTCTTTGTTAATTTTTTCCAGCTCCTCTGACTGGGAAGTGTCACAATAGCTGTTGCGTACAGCCGCTGCTCATTCATTCACACCCAGAGCCCGAATACCTCGAGCGATGAGCAAAAGTCACCCGCCAGTCATAAGCTGGAAAGCCCCCATCCACGGTGCATGTTGAGAATCGGAGTACACACCCTTCTGAGTAGCCCAACACACCCACACAAATGGGTAGCCGCACATTGCTAATTCATCATATTTACCACAAACACGGTGTGTGTTTGTGTGTGTGGAGGCTCTGGTCAGATGTCTGTGGCACGGAGGCGCTGAAGTGGCCCAGTGTACAGTCACCTGACCAGAGTTAACGCGGGCCGCATGATAGTGGTTACGACCACCTTCCCCTGGGTCTTGAGATAAGCCAGTGTCTCTTCAGACTTTGGACTTCCTCTATTGCGTGTCCAAATACCGGCTTCTTTTTTCAAAGTATGCCCCCCCCTCATCCCCATCCCTTTTTTTTCTTTTTTCTTTTCCACAGACTGAAACCCTCCCACATGCTCATCACCCCATTGTTGGTCAACCTATCACTGTCATGTTTCCACACAACTTCTAAAAAGGTTTCCCTTCCATCGACGCGTTTCCTGTCTCTTTATGGCCGCCACTAAGGAAGCGCTGCCTGTCCGTTAAGTGAAACACTAAAGCATTTCTTAGGTGCTTAAGAGAAGCAAAAAGTAACGCCCATGTGCAGAATGGTGCGTAAAAACAAATCAGTTCAACAGAAAGCGTGTGCGGTTATATTTTATGCAAACTTGAGTTATGCAAGCGTATTTTTAGCATGTGTGTTTTGGTCAAACACCAGAGCCATCAGGAGTGGCTTTCGCAGCCTCTTGCGGGGATTTGATTTGCAGAGTCAGCAGAAAGACGCGTCACCACGTCAGCACCTCTAAACCTTTGGATAGCGTCAGTGTGTGTGGCCGTAGACATTATCAACGGAGCTTCTCCATTTTCATTTTAATTGTTTCCCCTTTACCCGAAACCCAGAACTCCACCGCAAACCGGAAATCAGTCTGGAATGGTGTTGGACAGAATTAGGTGTAGCTTCACACTTCTCCTGTTCATGATTTATGTGCTTTGTGGATCAACCTCCGAGTCTTTTTCCCCCTCCCCCTGTCCTGAATGGACCACATCTACTCAGCTTTCCCTCCGAAGATTAAAGGGTTTTTGTGGGGAGAGCAGTCCTGTGCACACCCCCTTCCCCCCCTCCCACCAGATCTGTTACCTCTGGACCCACCTGTTTGGGAGCAGGTCTGACCACGCCAATTTGGCCTTTGACCCCAGCCGGTATGGGAAGCTGGAGGAGTGCCGGCTGTTTCATCCACACCGGGCTCTGAGAAGGTGACCTCAGGAGGACCTCTCTAAACGTCCATTGTTGTCTTCTGTAGCTTTTCCCCACATGACATCCTTATCATGACACCATTTCCCCACATGACATGATTATCAGTCAACGCTCTCTTTGTGGAGGTAAAGGAGATATTTCAGGTTTCGTACCAAACCTGAAATTCTTCCCTGACTGAGCCAGAATGGAAAGCTGGAGAACCGGTTTTCTATCTTTTAATGGTCTCTACTCTGAAAAGTTCCATTTAGGCTGGCGGGTCTAAATGGAGGTCGTTCTCAACACTATTGTTCTCAGCAGTGAGCGAAAGCCAGACATGGTTGTATGCGAGGGGTTAAAGTTAGACTCTGGAGACTGGTCTCTCTTTAGACTGCCGGCCGTTGGTACAATATCTGCTCCGGCTCGTGTTTAGTTTGGTGGACCCAGCTTTGAGCATGGACCCGCCACCTTTGACCTCAGTGTTTTTCCCCTGAAATGTAAGAGCTGATGCTCCCTCACCAGGGTTTAGGGAATGCCTAATTGAGCCCGCAGGGAAGCCGGGGCCGGGAACATAACACTCCTCCTTGTTTTTCTGCTCTTTGCTTTGTTTTCATGCAGGTGGTTGATATGTGTTTATTTTTATTCTTTAAAACCCTTTTCTGTTCCAAAGCTGAATTAACACGGAGCACGCTGTTGAATGTGCTAGTTTTCCCCCTTTTTTTTGGTTTTGGTTTAACCCATTTGATTTGGACTATCAGAGTTTCCAGATGAGCAGTCTGCTCTGCTGCCGAATGCAAAATGCCATGCTTCAGCAGGGCTTTGTCCACCAAATCCACCTAATGCTAAATCAATTCCATCATGATAGATCCAGGGGCTTCTGGGTGGGGGGGGGATTAGTCTGAGTCCCTCTCAGCTCGGGGTGTTGACAACAGCGGTGTACTGGCAGTTGGAGGTGACCACTATTCTCTATGGATGACCGGCAGAGGCTGTGTCCATGCTGACCGGGGTCAGCTGGGACCACCTGCTCAGAGGCCCATGGGGGGGGGCATTGCACCCGATGATGGACCGACAGGGTCTGATCAGCGTCGGCTTTCATGTTTTTCTCTGCAACCTCAAACGCTGACGTTTAACTGAGCTTAGAGTTTTGTAACTTGGAAAGCTGCTGTATTATCTGTGTTTTTTTTATTTTATTGCCGATGGCTGACTGTCACTGGCAGATAGAACGGGTAACAGTACAAACACCCATAAACGAGACAACCTCCATAAAACACGTGCAAAGCATTTTATGCAAACCTCCGGAAGTTTGCTATATATTTACCAAATGTGGAGGGTGTTATGTGTGCACTCACCTCATTTACAACATTGTGACATAACGTCTTTTGTTACCAAATCGTTTTCATGAAAAGGGTTGTATAAGAGCCTGTTTTGACCTCTACTATACCTCGTCCTATCCTGTTTTTATCTTCCAAGATCAGATTAGATTTAGGATGAGCTGCCTTGAGACCTCTGTGTGGGCAGACGCTATCGGAGGGCCTGGTATGCATGTAACAGGGAGCTTTGTTATACTAAACAGAAAAAAGGGTCCTGTTTTTAAGCGTCAACGCTGACATAGGATGGTCTTTCTTTAGGTTTTTCTGGGTCTATAGCTTCTTGCGTATCGTTCTGCCTGCAAGAGCTGTGAGGGAGATATGCACATGCGCTGTTCATTCAGGTGAATCCGTTGCGTTCCTCATCGCTCCATCTCATCTCGGGGTTGCATGATGGCATTTTGCTCCAACATCCATGCCAACATTGCGGATTTGACTCGGTTTCATTTTCGTCTCCCACTCCGCGCTTTGGATTTCGTCTTCTATTTTTCAGTCTGAGCTCAAACACTGTTTCCCAAAACCTGCTGCTGCAGTGAGAGTCAAAACGCTTTGAGAGGGAGATTGCCTGATAACTTGGTAAACACGTATTTAGGTTGCGGGTGGTCACACGGAGTCCCTCATTACAGAAGTGACTCCTTGTTTGCTGCCTGTCGACAACAGCTCAGCTCACCGTGAGCTTTTAAAGTCGGCAGCAGGAAACAGAAACCACACCATGAGCTCATTTATTTGTGTGTGTGTGTTTGTGTGTGTGTACGCAGCTGAGATGAAAATGTTCTTATTAAAAAAAAAACACCAGCTCCCTGGTGCCTTTACTGACCTCCATGAGGCAGGCTGTGTGTCGCTAAACACAGCTGCTGTCAGTCCGTCGTTGAGCTGACAGCAGGTTATTCGATTTGGACAGGAAGTGCTTAGCGTCACCCTGAAAAGCTTTCGACTCGTCGAACGAGAAATTGATTGTCGAAAGGAAATGTCATGGCAACGACGCCTTGTGTGTGCGGACAGCCAGCACCTCAAAACCACTGGAAAAGGTCACTGAAACAGGTGAAACAGCACATGGTGGTTTGTGCCCTCTGTTTTTTTTATCTTTTTTATGTCTTTCATCAAAAGGCCATGTCTGAACTTAGATATGTTTTTGTCTCTTTTGGACTGATTCTGCTTTCAACCCTGGCTCGGGCTGCGAGGGATAATGTTGACCCCGGCTGCATCCCACTCCCGTCACATGTGCCGTTGCCTAACCGATAGCGGTGTGCAGCCTGAAACGTCACATGCGCAAACACAAGTCGCTTGGTCGGCTGATGGTAAAGGTCGCCCTTTGACACGGCGCCATATCTCCAAACCCGCCAAACAGAGACTCGAATGTTTGCTTTAGGTCAGATTTATTCAGAGAAAAAAAAAAACTCCCAGATCACAAGATGCTAAATCTGACACACACACAGTAGTAGTGGGCTCCCGAAAGGTGGCTTAGGCTTACCTCATCTCTGTGGTCCAGGTTTTTTTTTTATTTTTTTTACCCACATGGCGTTGTGAGTGGATCGACCACAGTTTCCCCTTCTGTCACAGCACATCAGACACTCTCTGTGATTGGCTTCTTAACTGCTGGCAGGATTGTGTGGTGTTTTTCTGAATGACTTTGCTGCCACCTTGTGGAGAATATCTGTCGGTTACATCACAGACTTTCATAATCACTGCTCAGCAGAACTCAGCTGCGGATGGTGACCTTCCAAAGGAAATATGTAACGTGAAGGGTTATATCGGTGCCTCGTTTGTATTGAAACCAGCATTTTTCTGTTGTGTATCAGTAAAAACCTCACTTTTTCATTACCTTCAACACATCGGGATATATATATACTATTTTTCTTTTTTTTTATTGTGCTTCTTAACTCTAACCCTAAAACCCTAAAATATTCTCACATTTTCATCACACTTAACACACCATGATACATATATATATATATATATACTCACGTTTTCATACAAGGATTTGTTTGTTTTTTTTCTAACTTGCCTCCTCCTCCTCCCTCTTCCTCTTTTAGGTGATCACCTGCTTCGGGCTCTCCGTGCTGTCGTGCCGCTACGTGGGCTTCGCGGTGGTGGCCCTGTTGGTGGAGATCAACTCGGTGTTCCTCCACCTCAGGCAGAACCTGCGCATGGCCAACATGGCCACGGGCACGCCCTACCGCGTCAACGCCCTGGTCAACCTGGGCACCTACGTGGTGTTCCGCATCAACACGCTGGCCTGGATGACCCGCTGGCTGGTGCTCAACAGGGACAAGGTGCCCCTGCTGGCCTACACGCTGGGCAGCGTGGGCATGGCCATCATGACCGCCATGAACATCGTGCTGTTCTGCCGGCTGCTCAGGAGCGACTTTCTGAAGAGCAGCACCCGGGAGGCCAAGAAAGAGAAGGACAAAGAGATGTAGAGCTCCCTGTAGTGCGAGTCGGCTGAGACCTGGTACCGTTTTTGTTTTGTTTTGTTTTGCCTGTGTGTGACCTTCTCCGAGCTGGGAGACGGAGGGGTGTGTCCATCTCTCTCCGTGCCCAGGCACACGCACTGTGCAAGCGCAAGTCAAAAGGCCTCGCCTTACACACAAACAACAATCGAACATCCCTCATACTGAAAGAAAACGACTTCCCACGATTTAGAGTTCCGACTGTTCGCTACGAGGCCTTTTTCAAACGTCACCAAACGCCTTACCGTCCCACCGGGTGCGTCGGCTAAGCCTCTTCTGCAAATGTAGCTCGCGATAAATTAGGATGCACTGCTTAAACTACACACATCTACTCCGTATTTAAAAGAGGATGTTAAATATCATTAGCTACATCATAACGATATCCATTTTCTCCCATACTGTATAAAGACTTCTACGTTATATACACATTATGCTGTTTTATTTTTGGTTTTGTTTCATGTTTGCCACTGAGTTAAGAAAAAAAAAAAGCAATGCGTGGGACACAAACCCTCTTGTCGTTTAACACTAGCACTGCAGAGGTGAATGTGTTTCCCACCAAATCTCCTCAACTAAGAACCGCCTGCTACCTCAGAGAACTCATAACGGTCCTTTGCTTCTTATTAACACCTGCTGTCCTGTCAGTGTTTGGCAGTTTGCGAAATCTAGCCAAGAAACTTTTTATTTAGAATATGATATATAATCCGTACACTGCAGGAAATTGCAGGATTTTTCTCAATTAGATAACTGCTACTGAATTATAAAAACTATAAAAAATATTTTTAATGCAGCCATTACAAGAGATAAAAACAAAAATACACTATATAGCTTCATAACATACAAGGTATTGGTTTTATGCTTTGGAATAGTCATAAAGACGAGGAAGATTTAGGAAACGTGAATACGTTAGTCACGGCCAGCTTTATATTTATCAGAGAAACACAGTTTAACCCTGACCATCACCACAGCTGTGGCCTTTGGGTCCGGTAGCAGCACCGTCCATCCGCCAGGTGTGTTAGCAGACGCTAAAGTAAGGAACTGGCAGTGGATCGATCACGGGAGGGGGGGTGCCGAGCCCTCTTCAACCCCCCTGTGAGAGGACAGGAACAGGAAAAAAAAACCCAAACATTCAGACCTCGCTTTGCTACGCGGTGGCCTTCAGTCTGCAGTTGGAAAGGCCCTCCTCCTCGTAGCAGATAAAAGGCGACCTCCTCACCGCCACCGCCGCCACACAGGAAGTGTGTATTTTCTAACCCTTTTTCGTAGATCTGTGCCATCCTGCCTTTCAACTGAAAGAGGCCAAAAAAAAGGGGACTGGTGTGGAACGCTGAGGAGGGCGTCGCAGGTCTGTGGATCAGCTGCCTCCTCCTGAGACTCATCCCAGGATTGCAGTCTCAGCAAACAGTGTCTTGTTTTTTTTGTTTTTTTTTTGTTTTTCCCTGCTTAACCGGTGTTTGCTTCGTTATGTATCTTTTGTAATTTATTTGTACTAAACTAGACGTGGATTAAAGATAAAAATGTGCACAACAGTCAATGGCTTTCCGTGTTGTGTAAAATTGCTGGTTATAGTGAAGCTGACCTTGTTCAAGTTCTGTTGTTGGAAACTGTTTTGGCCCCTTTCTCCATTCCCCCCCCCCCTTCACTCCTTCACTCGGTTACTGTGATGCCGTCATCTCTGCTGGACTTTCCTCTCCATTATGTGAGCTGAGCTCCAGCTGATCAGAGGAAGCATCATGGCTGTAGCCTGTAAACTTTCTACTTGGTCCAAGCACTTAAAAGTCGATTTTAAGAGCCGTAAACGCGCTACACAAATAGTGTGCTTTTAGGCCCCAAACACCTCTGCGCTAAACGACTTGTTGTCCTGAAAAGATCACAGAATCTCCCCTTTTTTTTTTTTTCCTTTTTTTTTTTTTGCATTTCTATCATTCATGTTTCTTTTTTGTCCGTCTCTGGTGCTTTTAGGCAGCTGTGCGGTGGTAGTGAAGACAGACGGTGGTGTCTGAAGTACTTTTTGAGAATCGGTTTTGCAGCTGTAACTGTGTCGTAAAACTACAGTCTTGATGGAATCAATCTCATGTGATGTCATTTGTTCCCTGTTCTGTCGTGCGCTTTGATGAACTGTGATCAAACGTGACTGTGGATATTATTGCCCGAGCAGCCGTCCTGCTTTCTGCACTCTACTGTTCTTTTTTTGTTTTTGCTCTGGTTTAGATCTCTACGGAAACGCCGGCAGGATGCTCCGTTATTCGCCGGCTGACAGGCAGAAGTGTTTCAGGGTGCAGTTGAATAGAATTCAAGCATTTTGCTGCTTTGGTGATGCTGTTTTTTTCCTTTTTTTTTTTTTCTTTTAATCCGTTTTCTAATTTGAAAGCAAATTGACCCATTTTTCTTCTCAAAGCCGAACTGATCCCGCTGCTGCCATTATCTTCTTTACCAGGAGTAACAATGACTCGGTCAGCAGCTGGCTAGGAAATTGAAGCCCGGGTTGCGGCACAGCCAGGCTGACAGGATAGGATCTTCACTGTTTTTTAAATCTTTTGGCCCCAGAACTTTGGTGATTGTCGATTCCGTACTATAAAATAGTGTAGTGTGCCTTTTTCTCCCCTTTTTCATCCACGTGCTTTTTATTGTGGTGAAATAAACACAAAAGGCACACAATCTCTGCAGGTTTTCAAAGGTTTGTGACTCCTTCACCAACCCCGGGGGGAGAGAGGAGGAGGGCACAGATAGAAATGGAAGCAATTCCAGTTTCCGGGTTCACATTTGCCTCATACTGTCACATCTGTGCAACGGTGTAAATATAACAGTTTTATTTTTTCATGTTTTGACAGATATTGTTTTGTAATTAAATTTTTCCATTTTATATGTTTATAAAATAACAATATTTGTTTAATGTGACAATAAAGATCGGAGAAATAAATGAGGTGGTCTGGCTCCTGTTTGTGTGAGACTGGATTTCGGTTCCAGTTGGGTCTGTGCAATACGCAAAAATGGAAAAAGGATTTGAACAGTTTAAAAAATGTTTTAAGACAAAAATGTGCAAAGAAAGAAATTAATAATCCAGTCCTAAACTTCTTCCCAGACTGTTTTTGGACCCTACTACTGCTGCTCGGTATTCGTGTAAACTAGGTGAAGACAGGCCTGCATTCAAGGTTTTCACAATATTACGAGACTGATCTTAAAAAGTGTACCCAAAAACCCAAACTACTGCACCTTAGTTTGAAAACGGGGAGAAATCGATGGAGAAAAAAAACTACATTTCGCTCATAAGCCCTTTAAGTGAGCGAATGCGCGCTCCCGCTGGCCGGGGATCCGGCGTGCACGCGCCCGGCAGCCAATCAGCTTCAGCCTGACTCCCATCGCGCCCGTGTTCTCGCGTGTTTTGATCACGGGGTGGCTTGTTTTCATCATTTCCCAGCTCCCTCCAGATGCTCGGTGCCTCGGTCGGGGGGGTGGTGGTGGGGGGGGCAGAAAGAAACGGACTGCGCACGCGGCCTTCCGGCAGAGCCGTCTGACGGCCCCGTCTTTCCGCTGATGCTCAACCGCAGATGTTGCAACGGGTTTTTGTTGGTGTGTTTTCTCCTAGCCATTCTTCCCCCCCTCCTCCTCCTCCTCCTTTTCGCCAGTGAAACCGTCGTCGCGCGCGGCTGACACGCACTGGGATGCGCTCTGGTTCCGGTTCTGGTTCTGGTTCCGGTCGATGCCGCAGTCTCCAGGATTCGGAGCGGCTCTGGACCCCAGCATGCGCGGATCGGAGGACGGCTGTAGAACGCTCCCCAGTCGCCTTTCCTAACTTCTGGTTAACAGCCATTTAAAGGTAAGCAGGGACAGGGAATGAAATGAGTTGTATTTTACTCCAAAATGCATCCCTAATGATTTTTGGCTTGACTTTCTTTGGATTTTACAGATCATCATTGCCTACTTTGTACCTTATTTTTGAACCTTTGTGGGATCTCAGTTGAAAATATTAAATTTTTTGGCCTGACATGTTTAGAAAGTTGTATGTGCCAGTTCTAGTGGAGGCTTGGGAGAAGCTAGAAACTCCCAACCCGGTTCTTGATTTCCACCCTCTGGTCCGCAGACACAAACATGGGCGATGAAGGGAGCCTGCCCCAGCAGTTGGAGAGTGTGGAGCGGAGCCTGGTGTTCCTCAGGCGCGAGCAGCTCACCCTGCTCCACGGCCTCCACCTGGAGATCCTCTCCCTGCAGAAGAGATGCACAGGTGAGGACACCGGAGCCCCCCGGCCTCACTTTGAAGCCACGGCTGTGACACGGTTGCCACTTTCCTCACAGAAACAGGGCTGCAAACACAGTTTTGGAACTTTAACTTTGGCCTAGATGTACTTTATTGCCCAATTGGATTTGCAAAAAGCAGCGGAGTCCTGAGAAACAGATTCATGGTTACCGTTGATATGACTTAATATTTAATAAACCCTTTTAACATCTTAGGAATTCTCGTTTAGCAAAGAAAGCATCATTAGTACCAGTTAAAATGACTCATATTTGTTAGAATTCCAGTCAATTATTGGAATACACTGTGATATGAATGCATTTATATACAATATTTATATACACCTTGGTTAATATTCCTCTATTAGTTGTATTATTTTCTTTTTGGCTCTTTGCTAATCAGCAATGACTCTTTTCAGAACCTCTTTAACCTCCAGGTAAAGCTTCAATGAGCACCTGAAAAACTGCCCTTTCACGCCCTTTTAATGTGCTTTATTTGACTTGAGAATTATCCCCCCAATTTTCCATCTGCATAAGCCTCTGATTCTCCCCAACTGGAGCTTTAAGTCATTTACCAGAAGCTTTATTTCACTCCGCGTTTAGTCACAATCTGCAGAATATTCATAACTTTCTAAACAAAGACACTGAGTCCTCCCAGAACCGTTGTGTGTGTGTGTTACTGATCATTGTTCATTTAGTGTGCGTGTGTGTTCACAATGCCTTCAGTCACAGCCAGACAATCCTTACATGGTGATGTCATTCTACAATTCCAGTAGATGACATCATTTCCTCCTGGGGACCTAATGGAAGTGCTTTTCATTTAATCAAGCTTGCACGTCCACATGATTTCACACACCTAATCTTGTTCTATTAAATATGGCTGCTCCTAGTACGAGTGTCCTCCCTCTCCTCAAACCGTAACACTCGCCCGCCCGCGCACGTACCTGTCAAGAAAATTCAACCTGAAAGAAAAAGGGTTTTCGGAGGGGGGGGCGACAGCCAGTGTGTGTGTGTGGGTGGTTCTGAGTGTATTTTTGTTCTGACACAGACAGAAAAAAAGAGATCCAAACACACCCATGAGGGATTGTTCATAAATCGCTTTAGTAATCCATATGAAACAGATCGTGGTGCAGAAAAGCAGGGGAGAGCGGGGGGGGGGGTTAGAGGGGGGGGTTGTGTGTTTGTGTGAGAGTGTGTGGGAGGGAGATAAATGGCCCACAGCCAGTGTGACCATTTGAGTTGAAAGCGACCCCCCTCCGTCATCCGTGTTTGGTAGGTGGAGCATTTTCACCTCTTATTTCTTCTGCCCCCGGGTCTCTGCCTCCCACATGGCCTTGTAACAGACAGTTTTTGGCCAGTACGGAGTCCCAGGCAGGCTGATGGGCTGGTTTTTCCGAGTTATTTGTGACTTAACCTGTAAAGAAGATAATTCTGGAGAAAGTGGCTTTGAAATCACATAAATACGTCCCACTCGCCACTAAATGCACACATTTACGCTTTTTGCCGAGAGACTTATAAGAGTCTAGCGATGATCTCTGAGGTATTTGTCTTAGCCCATAAAAAGCAGGGAATAATCGTTGTGTCCCTTTTGCATGTGGCTGTGAGCTGCACGCGCCCCGGACAGAGCCGGAGATGTGATGGGGATCTGTTGCCGGCTGGCTGACGTCTCCAGAAGGGTGTTGCAAGGTTGAGCGGGTGATGCTGCCGCGCATATTAGCGCACGCCTTTGAAATGCTGACCTCCCCTTTTATTATTCGGACCTCCCAGAGTTTGCTCATCAGCATAAAGGCCTTTGTGCCGCGGCCTCTTTGAGGTACAAGCTGAATAATTACGTAAGGTGTTTTTTTTCCGTCTAGTTCCACTGATGTGATGTGTTGTTCCTGCGTTGTGTGTGTGTGTGTGTGTGTGTGTGTGTGTGTGTGTTTACCCTTCAGGATATCTTTGCAGCGTTCAAGGTTGAATCGATGGAGGAGAAAAAACCTTGAGCACTCAGTTAATCTTCAGGAGATAAGGCTGAATGAGATGTTGCAAAGTCTTTTCTATTGTTTGACTTTTGATGAAGCGTTTCTCCCCGTCAGCTGGCTGTGTGTAATCCATGCAAGCCTCAACCCATGAGGAAGTCTACTAGTGGTCTTCCTCAGTTGTGTGAGAGGGTTTTTCGTTTAAAGCGTGAAGGGTTCATCCACGCCGTCTTCTCCGTCTTCGCCTCCTCTCTCTAACGTTCTTTATTTATTGATTTTCCTCCGTCCACGTCCATTCCCGTGGGGCTGCGTGTGCAGATGTGTTTCTGACTGCAGAAAGAATGGAAAACGCTTTGACAAGGGAGAGCAGCAGGACAAGAAAAAGTTTCCTGAGTTCACAGTCACGTGATGATGTTTTAGAGGGGCAGCACGGTGGTGTGGTGGTTCTGGGTTCGGGTCCCCAGGGGAACCAGGACCTTTCTGTGTGTGTGTGTGTGTGTGTGTGGAGTTTGCATGTTCTCCCTGTGTCTGCGTGGGTTCTCTCCGGGTTCACCGGCTTCCTCCCACAGTCACAAAACCTGCATGTTAGGTCAATTGGATATTCCAAATTGCCCTTAGGAGTGAATGTGAGTGTGCGGGGTTGTTTGTCCTTGTGTGTCTCTGTGTGGCCCTGCGATGGACTGGCGTCTCGTCCAGGGTGTACCCCGCCTCTCACCCATTGACCACTGGGATAGGCTGGTGACTGGTGCTAATATGAAGCAACATCTGCATGATGTGGGTGGAACAAATCTTTGACAGTAAAACAGTGGCTTTTTGAACAAAGAAAAAATAAGATAAATAAGGCTGGGAATAGATGGATGATGTGTTAGATATAAATGAATGATTTGTAAAACTTGCAAATATTTACTTGGAAACTGACGTGCACGGTTTCGCAACACACGTTCAGCGGGAGGTCTTCGTGCTCACGGCTTTTGAACAAATACTGGATACCTGGATCCTGCATCGGCTTCAGGTTCTGGAAAATGAAATAAGCTGATCCGCACAACAGCTGCTGTGTTAAAAAGAATTCCAGCTGAATGTGGAGGTTTTCTCTGCTGCGTTCAGGTTCACTCTGAATCCTCGTTGGGATGAGTGGCAGGGCAGTCTCCAGCCAAGGTCTAACTTCATCCCCCCAACCCCGCCCCCAAAAACCACCCATGTTGCAACATAGGCCACTAATAACACACAACAAACCAGCTGGGTCATTCATTTTTCTCATTTATTTATTTTTTATCTGCTCAAAAAGCCACTGTTTTACTGTCAAATACTTGTTCCTGATGCTGATGTTACTTTATATTAGTCACCAATACTGCAGAATGCTGAAGAATAAAGCTGAAAGTGTCCACAGAGGCCAATGCTGCTCTGTCTGCTCTTTGGTTAGATGCAACAACTCGGCACAAAGCAAAACGAAACCCTCCGCTTTTTTCCTTCTTTTTTTCCCCCACACTGGCCTTTCATTTTGACTCGCTTTTAAAAACAATTTTCTCTGAGTGTGCTTCCTGGAGAGGAGTATCGGTGCCATTTACAGACGAAGTAAGGAGAGTTTGTCTTCGCCCCGACTGCAGCCGGCCGGGCTCCCGGCACACGATCTTTGATGTGAAGTTTCAGATTGCGGGTCATGAATTATGCAGCCGCTCACTGAAAATGTGCTAGAAAACTGTATGGAGCATCTGGTACGTTGACCAGAAAGAGGAAACAGAGAATGTCACGGCAGCTTTAAGGACATGAGACGCCGGGGGGCTCGGTGGAGCCGAATATTTAATCTCTTAAGTGTCCGATTGGTTTCCGTATCCTCTGAATGAATCTTTTCCTTTTTTTTTTTCAGAGCTGACAGGTGAGCTGAAGGTAAAGCCTCCAGGGAGGAGCCAAATAGGTACGTAAAAAAAAAAAACTGCAAATTTCAGAGCTCATTCCCTTTATGTGCGTTGTATTTTTCTTCTTTATTCTCCTCTGTTGTAAATCTCTCCATCTGCACTCAGCATGATTTCATCCTTTTTTTGTGAGCTCTTCAGCTTGAAGACGGACTGTGTTTACATTTTGCTGAGGCAGTTCGTCCTCACAGCACTCCAACTTAAGCCTCCATCGAATGCTTTTTTCTTTTTTTTTTTTTTAATTTTTCCTGCTCCCCCCCCCCCCCAGAACACAGCTCCTCCGTCAGCCGCCTCCTCCCTCGTTCCTCTCATCTCCTCACCCATGCAGGAGGGGGGAGTCTGTTACAAAGCTCTGGCTTGTCATGCGCGTTCACATCTGTTTTGCTCCACATCTGCAGCTCAGACGGGTGTGAAAGATGCCGCAGCCGCGTGATTACAGGAAAGGCCGGTCGTGGTTGCGCGGAGGAGGAGATGGGCACCATTTTGTGTCAGACACAGAGAGCAGGGAAAAAGCTGAGGAAGTTGGGTCAGTGTTGAGAGTTCAGGGTGGAGGGGGTGGGGGGTGGGGGGTTGTGCTCGGCCGCATTACTCAGCAATTAGATCCCATCTCCTTTTTCCAGGGCAGGTTATCCCTCCATCCGTCAATACCGCACTCCCCCCCCCCCCCCCTCCCCCCGTTAAAAAGGGATCTGTTCTCTTTTTCTTCTCGTTCCTCCTCGGAGTCCCAGAGGAAGTGTCTTCTTACAGACTCTGCCGAGATGTAGGGCCTGGAAAAAGAGATGGAGAGAGGTAACGTGAGGTGGAGAGGAGAGTGATAAAGGGTGGGGTATGTGGTCAGACTGGAGGGAACGGGGGGGGGGGGCGTGCAGGAAGATGGCATCAGTTCATCTGTGCACTTATTGGCACATGGTAGGACAGATGGAGAAAAATTAGGATTGGAAAGAACTTAAAAAGCAAGAGCGACGACAGAGAAGAAACAATAAAAATGGAAGCTGTGCTGACGGGAAAATAACAAAGTGATACTTAGCACTTTTAACCGTAAACTCTCCAGGGAGTCCAGCCTTTCCAGTTTTATTTCTAGGATTCCCAGAGCCCTGTTCGCTTCATCTGGCAGCCTCCAGCTCAGTCAGCCCGGAGGCTGCTGTACTGACTCAGGGCTTTCTCGAAAACCCCCCCCCCTCCCCCGGGAAATGAAGCAGCACAAGGGCTGTCTACAGAAAGAGAGTGGGGGGAATAAAGACCATTAATTGGAATGATCTTTGCAGTTTTCTTTAAGAATCTGCTTTGCCGGAGCAAGGCTGCAGATTAGCCGGCGGTCAGATCCGAGGCCTTTTGCGCGACCACCCCAGTGGACGGGTGACGGCTAGCCGCCATGGCAACGGGAAGACTTCAGCCCCGTCCTCACCGATACCGCATCATTCAAGTCACATCGAACTCATCACCCTTTAAAATCTTAACCAGCTCCTCTCCCCAGCTTTCCCAGTACGTACACGATCTTGACCAAGGAAGGGACTCACTGTCCTCACGCGTCCCCCTGAGCGCTCGGCCCTGATAGCAGCTTTATATTATTCCACAGAAATCTGATCTGGATAGCCTTTGAGCGGTGCCGCCACGCTCACGTGTGCTGAGGATTAGGGATGGCGGGGGCAAACAAAAGCTCTGCCTCACTCACTTAAGTGAGATTCATTTTAAGCCTTGATGTTTTTAGTTGTTTTTTTTTAGCGTGCTGCGGTAAAAGAAAAAAACCCTCTTTATTTGCTGTTTCTGAGCGGGGTCGGCCCTTCTGCTGTGTGTCTCTGTCAGAGCTCCAGGAGGAGGAGCAGATCCTGGAGGCCCGCTGCCGGAGGCTGGAGAGCCGGCTGGCCGAGCGGGAGTGCACCTTGGGCGACCTCCGGAAGGAGCTGGGCCACAAGGGGACTCTGGTGGGGGCCCTGCGCGGCAACCTGAAGGAAAAGGAGCGGCACTTCCTGGAGGAGCTGAAGCGCCGCAGCCACTGCTCCACGCTGCTCAACGCCGAGCTGCACCAGCAGACGGAGGCGGCCGCCTGCCTGTCCTTCCAGCTGCACGCCGCCCGCCAGAGGCTGCAGCAGCAGCAGCGCGTCCAGCAGCGGCAGGGGCTCCTGGCCAGGGCCGGCGGCCGGCACGGGGCCGAGCAGGACGCCAACGCCGCCGCGGGCGCCGCCTCCCCGCCGCCGTCGGGCGCCCCCTCGCCGGCGGTCAAGCCCAAGCGCAAGGGCGTCCGGGCGTCCACCAGGGCCGAGCGCTCCCGCGAGTGCGTGCCCACGGAGAGGGTGACCGGCCCCGCCGAGCCCACCGCCATGCCGGACCCGGCGCTCTTCCTCCACCCCCGCAGGCACAGGGCGCGCCCCCGCCACGCGGCGGCGCACAGACCGCCCCCCGTGGGCCCGGAGCGGGAGGACGGGGACCCGGGGCGGGGAGAGGGGCCCGCCGGGCCGCAGGACGAAGCTGCCAGGCTGATGGTGGCGCCCCCTGCTGCTCAGACCAAGGCAGACTAGCGGCCAATCAGACGCCAGCCTGTTACTACTGTGTGACCACTTTGTGGTCATCCTCCGTGAGGCCGTCGCCAACTGTTGCTCTGCACCTTGATTGAATTCATTGCCCGGGAGTGCTTTTAGCCATTTGATTATATCACACTTCCTTACCTAGATCCTTTTTTAACGTGTACTTTGATATAACCTTCTAGAACTCGCAAGGCAAAACGTCAGTAAGTGTCACTTTGATTCAGTCTTAGGGTGAAATGAAGACGCTTTGTTTACACTGCTGTTAAACGCTCAGTATACTGTGGAGCCTTATTACTAAGTAGCCCCCCTTTTTTTTGTATTTAAGGCGACTGTGAGTTTGACTTTGGTAGCAGACTTCAGTGGGACCCACACAACTGTGATCTCTCAAAGCTGACCGTAAATCACCAAAAGCACACGTCTCCTGACTGAGGGACGGACGGTAGCGCCTGAGGGTGGAGCTTTGCTTTCTTCACTATGAGCAAAACAGAGGTGGAAACCTGTGATGAACTCTCATCGCAGGAGACGATTGGTCGGTCCATTCAGGTTACTCGCTGAGCCCGGAGCCTCTTCAGTTTCCCTCCACGCCATCTTGTGTCGTAACAGACAGTCGTAGAGATGCAAACCTTTGTTTTTTTTCATTCAGAAAGTCCGTCTGACTGCATTGGTTTTTATTTTGTTTGTTTTTTTTAGCAAACAGAGGCGTAAAAGCTATAAACCTTATTCGTATTACGGTGAAATGCAATCGCAGATTAAAATTCCCCCTCAAAAATGTTGTTTAGGGAATAAATAGGAACAGAATGCAATAATTTGCTAATGTTTTGATTCTCGCTTTTGATTTAAAACTTTTTAAGATATAGAGTATCAAAGCTGTTTATTTAGTTTTTAAAGTATCGGTGTGAAACTAATACCCAGAAACACACTTGTGAAGAACATAATGTCTTCCATATTTATCTTACTGTGTGATAAATGCTACCATGTAAAACACACAGTCGTCTGAAGGTATGGCTGTAGCTTCAAGGGCAGCCAGCGTCGCTTTGGCCGACTCGTGAGGCATTATAACAACTAATTTGTGGGTTAATTGTCAACTGTTTCTTCGTGGATAAAACCTAAATCTGCACCGCAGTGCCTGTGTCAGCTGGAGGAGAGGTCGGACAGCAGGGATGTGTGAAAAACAACAGAAATATTGCCGGTGTGTTTGTTCCAAATGGCACAGCGGGGCTCTTCCTTTGAGGGGACAGCGTTGGGTAATGGCGTGATGACCTCTGACCTCCGGACCACGTGTTTTACTCAGGTGTGGTTTCTGTACCCCACGCACACACACACACACACAGACATTGGCTCCTTGACTTTGAGGTTGTTGTGTTGGGGTTTCTTTTCACCTCAGGAAAAACCTAACTTTAACTTTAAAAAAAGTGGACTGTAGCTTTTCCTGTGTTTTTGAACACAGCGAGGTATGGAGGCTTTAATGGACGGTCTGTGCACGCGTCCGTATTTCCCATTTTGCGAATCCCCAACACAGATGCGCCTAAGGCACAGACTGCAGGGAGTGTGTGAATGTGTGTGTGTCTGCCTGTGTCCTCTGTTACTAAACAAACGCAGGCGTCGCCCCTTAGTGTCAAACAAGAGAATAACATGAAGGGAGCAGTAAAAGGCAGATCCAACCTCCCACTCTGAGGACCTGTGAGTGTACCTACAAACAGGCACCACTGTGGGGGGAAAAACACATATCTTTACTCAAGGATTTGTTACAATTCAAATTATTTGGGTCTCCTGTAGATCTACCTTGTATTTTTACTTCGGTTTTGCTAGTTACACGATAACTAACTGGACATACGCGTCCTGTAAGGCTGATGTTGGGGTTATATGCTCTGAGGATTAATGGTGTTTTATGGTGTGTTTCACAGGTATGACATCAACACAGCAATAGATCACAAATATCATTCGTAGAAGGTCTCATCAGTTAGTTTGAGAACTAACTTGGAACTTAGCTTTAGACTGTTAGACTCAATGACCGCATCCGTCGGCCGGCTGTCCATTTTTAACTTCTCTGTTCACACTTTTACTCCACCGTCATCTGACATTGCACACTAGATGGTCCACGCTTTGCTTTTGTGTAAGTTAGTGGACAGATAATCAGAGGAGGCAGCATCTGTGATGACCTGCTGAGGCTTACTGCTCAAACTAACATGGAGACGAGCAGTGGGACCCCTTAATCGACATGTCTTTGCATTTAGAACTCAGTCCTCACTGCCGGGCTTGTCTTTCCCCCCTAATTTCCCAAGCACAGTCCACATCACAGAACCCCAAAAATGATTTCTCTCTGCCCCGCTGTAACTCGAGGGTGGTGCGAGCTGCATCATCTGACAATTCCTCTCACCTGGGTCTCTTAGCTGTGGTCAGCGTTGGCTGAAGTTGGACAGGTCTGTTTTGCATCTCTCTGGACTACATGCGCCCCCCTTTCCATCCTCCTCTTTGACATGGTTTGAAGCAATAATGCTGTGTTGTACCCAACTACAGAAAGACGTCCCTCTGGGTAGTTTTATGGCTTTGTTTGGTAGACGAGCATAAGCTAATGACTGAACGCTGCGTATACTGGAAGAAAACAGATCAGGAAGAAAACAGAAGGATGGTAGAATCTGCTGACTGCTTTGCTATTGCTGGAAGTTTTGCCAGAGAAAGGACGAGAGAATACATTTGCAAGTGATTATATGAGTTCACTTTAATTAACTGTTAGATGTTCCAGTTTTCTTTCATGGATGAAACATTTGAAGTGTATGTGCTTGGAGTTTCAGCAGAAATCTACAAGATCATCGTCAATGATGAATGAATGAAGCAAACAGAATAAAGGTTTCTGATTTTTCATGATGTTCTCCTACATAAATAATATCTGACACTATTTAATTGAACTAAGTATTTGTATGAAATGAATATATTCACACCTTAGTATTCTATCATATTAGAATTTGCTTTGAAGCTTTTAAAAGGGGCAGTTTAGGCGCGTCTATATTGTGTTCTTTAATGTGAAGAGGGTTTGTAAGCTTATATAGGGTCAAAATAAAAAATATGTAAAAAATACCTGTTCTCAGTTGGTTTTGAGGAAACATCTTTTCTTATGAAGACTTGATGTAAAAGTGTATGACCTTGAAAAAGAGTTTGGTTAATAAACTATATCTTTGTTACTTAAACAAACAGCTTATTCAGACTTTCATGCAAGTTGTGGGCATAAATAATCACAACATCCGACTGCTTTCTGATCATTCACAAAATCATTTCTGCTTCTTTTTTTTTTTTTTTTTAAATCATTGGTGTTTAATGTGCCAACAGTAGGCTAAGAAGGATGCAGGTGCAGGGGTTTCAGCTGATCTCTGGTGTAAAATGATAAAGGGGCAACAAATATAACCTTCGAAAGTGACCTTTTACCACAGCGAGTTTGTTACATAAAACCATATTTTAATAATATTTACGTTATTATTGCGGGTTTCTCTGTTTCTATGTACTATCTTTTGTTTACATTACGCGTATTTAACATGAGCCCACCTCACAGAAGTGATGGTGGATGACATATATATGCAAAACCAGTGAAAATAAATCCCAAAATATTCCTTCTGTTCTCTGCGTAATTGTTGAACCGTGTAATTTTCTCCTAAAAAATGTGAGCAAAATAAGTGAGGGGCCAGCCCGACAACAGTTCATCACCTAACACACACAATACCAGAGTTTAGTCAGCCAGACAGTGCTCTCATTGTACCAGCTGCTATGTTCAGAGTGAGATTAAACCAAATAATCCTAATCTTTAGGCCCAGCCCTTAAGAAAGCCTCTTTGTCATTTTGGGTTTAACTGTTGCAATAACTTTGAATGTATGTGTTCAACCAAAAAATATATATAAATAAATAAATAAAACGCACCACGTCTGCGCTGGTGTGGAGTCTTTGACACGTTTTCTCTTGAACGTGGCACCCACTTGATCTGGATTGTATCGACCAAAAAACTATTTCAAAGGCGCCCGTGTCAAAGGTCAGCCCCCACCAAGATGTCGGTTCGGTGACATTTTTAAAATGTATTTTTTCTCTCATCAAGCTGACTCTGTGCTTCGCATAAACAAACATATTATAAGACGTTTTTTAAAAAAAAATTCAAGAGCATTTTTAAAACATTTGTCTCCCGTGGCTTTCCGTAGAGCCACGCTTAGTGGGTGGAGAAGAACAACGCAAAGGCAAAGAGGTCGAGAGGAGGGGAGGAGAAAACCACGTGTGTCCACCACCATGTACAGCACTGTCCTTCCTAGGTAGACTTGTTTTTGTAAGCCCGTACCCTTCGCATGTAGCCACCTAGCCTGCACTACCCGGAGAAGCAGATAGTTATTTATTTGTTTTTTCACATTAATCTATAAGACTCCTAACACAAGAGCAAAGCTGCGGGGGGGATTTCTGTCACCACACTGACTGCCGAACATGGTGAGCAAGACAGATGACATCCCGGCGTCAGTGCCTGACTGTAATCCGGTTGATCTTTCGGATGGAGCCCGGGACGGCAAAGAGACAAACGACAGGACCGAGAAGGATTCCTGTTGTGGTGAGTCTGCCGCAGACTCTTGTGCACACAGTATAGTTGCGATCACACCAGAGAACAGACTTTACAACAACACTTCTTTGAGCTGCCAGCATCCCTGTGCAACGGTGTGGGTTACTTAAGTGTTTTGATGTCTGTCTCTGTGCTGTAGCCATTACAGCGGGTGACAGTCACATCCATGCTTTGCTGCGTGACTTTAAAGTCCTCCAGCAGACCCAAGGTGGAGGTTAACCCTTGCCTCCTCCCCCAGACACCTCTCATAGATCTGGCGTCAAACTAAGCTAAAAAACCCACATTAGCGTAGATGTCTACGTGTCTGTGTGAGTTTGCAAGCTAGCAAGGTCCAAAGCATCGCGTTCATGGGTCGTAGTCATTGGCTTGAACTTCACTCCGACACTGCAAGTGAAAAAGGCTAACCCAAACAAGTTAGCCGACGTGCTAGCATTAGCTTTAGCTTCTCCGTTCTGGATACGCATCGTTAGCTAGCCGGCTAGTCTGCTAGCTGGAAAGCAGCCATTCTTATTGCGTTTGACACGCCGTCTCACGCCCGTCGGCCTACAATGTGCACTCGAATGTGTTTTTTTTCTCTGGCAGAGTAAAAATCGACAGCGAAGCACATGACTGTCCCTGGGAATACGGAGCAGCTGTCGTTGAGCAAGCTCTGCCTGACGCACATGTTCGGTAACAGCATGTCAGGAGCCGGCTGAAGGTCACCTTCAGTGGAACCTCTCACTGTCCACATGGTCACAGGGGGGGTTACAAAGACACTACACGACTTAAAGGGGGCGTATAGGTTTAACAGTCTGTGTGCCAGATGTGTTACTACGTTATTACCGTATTAAAAGTGCGTGTTAACTGACGTCACGTAGACGAACCGGCGGGCAGCTGGTAGCAGCCCTCTCACCGGCCCCCGTCATCCCCGCGGAGGACGACGTAATGGGGTGCTCCTGCTCGACCGGGAAGCGGAAGCTGGTTTTAGTAGAAGAAGTCATGATGGTGTGTGCGCGGTGATAGGGAAGGTTACGCTAATAATACACGAACAGTCGTGTGAACTGGTGAGTAGCATGCAAGTTAAAGTCAATGCGGGGGCTCGCAGCGTTATCTGTGGAGGCGGATTAATCTGACCCGAGGTCAGTCGGCCGGTGAAGTTATTAACTTCAGAGCTCCAGGAGCCAGTGCAGCTTGTGGGATTGCTTCACATGTGTGGGACCTTGAATTGACTCAGCCGGTCTCGTTTTGTAGGCAGTCGGCCACTGTCAGGGTCCGAGTGTTTGCTGCTTTAGTGTCTTCTAGTTGTTTTTGCGCTTGTTTCTCTGAGCTGTCATGAGCTGCACGTTCACTAAGATGCATCTGAGACAATGCTGACTGACCTGACAGCTGACACAGGTTCTGGGATGAAGTTTCCAACCCAACCGGTCTTGAGGATTTTCTTTTCAAATCTTGTGCAACAATGAAATGATATCTTGAGTCTGAGTTTGTTGGCTTTAACACGCATCCCCGGTGTTGTTACTGCCACTTTAGAAAGGTGAATCGAGCTTTGATGGGGTTACACAGCAGGGCCCGTGTTTGTGTTGGCTGACCCACTGCTGCACACCTGTGGGACGCTGGCATGGGTCTGGCATGTGTCGGCGCAGAGTTGTAGCAGGACACACTCACAGCGGGTGACAAGGCAGATGCACTTAGGTGATGGTCATTCCCAGTGGTTTAAAAGGAGCTTAGTGCTCCTGTGGGGTGGATAGTGGCTCGCCTAATCCAGGAATCACTGACACAGTCTCTCAACATGCCAGGATTGATCATCCGGTGCAGAGTTGCTAGAACTTTTATTTATTTATTTTTTAATATCAATTCATAAGAAATACATATGGTCTTTTGCCATTTAGAGCATAGTGAAGGGCGATTCGCTTTGTGTGTGTTAAATGTGGCATCATTTACCAAACAATTTGTTTTTAAAGCTTTTAAAGGTCCGTGTGGGCTGTGTCGCAGAAGTGAGAGCCCACAGTCCGTCTGTCCAGCAGGGGGGTGAAGTCTTGTGGTCCAACAAACAGGATTACAGAGAGGCCTTGTGTGCTGTTTTTGTTTTCAGGGTTGTCAGGCTGGTTAGCGTTGTCATGGCAGCAGCCATGCTCCCCATGTCAAGGGCTGTGGAGTGGAGAGATATCTGACTGCATGCGTTATTATTTATCAGAAGGAGGTGGGCTGGTGGATGAACTACAGAAAAGTGGTGGATTGGAGAGGAGGAATTAACTGAACAGTCTGAACTTTACCTGTCTCCTCGGGGCCGATCAGTGTCCCTGTGTTATTGATGCCTATTATTGATGTGGGGGCTCTCCAACAGTGACAGTGTAATTATGTGGAGTCTGACCATTGTGTTCCTGACTTAATTCTCTCCATGGAACAAGGTTTCTAATTCTATTGTTAAAATCAGGGACTTGAGACATTAGGTTATGTGTTTCCACTCAAGCTGAATCCAAGAAGTCTGAAATAATCTTCTTAGAAAATAAGTTGGGATAGCTGATTTGAGCAAAAGAAAAACAACAGAAATGTGTGAAGTAAAGGTGAAGCTCTGAGATAATGATTAGTGAAAACACTGGTATCTTCACAGTACAGCTGGGGAGGGGGTTACAGAGAGATTAGGTCATTAAAGGAGTCAAGTGTCTGCCCGTGCAATCAGATGGGGAGGGGGGACCTCAAGAGAAGCAATATCTGATCTGCCAAAGTTTTTAGTTTCTAGTTATTGTGCGTACTCAATTATTTTAGCACAAAGTACCTCATCCCAAAATGACATCCGCATGCTTTCCTTAAAAAAAATGTCCGACGTGCAGGACGTGTTGGTCACTGTCAGGCTGTAACTCGATCACCGTGCTTCTATTAGAAAACCAAATGCACTGTGGCCATCAGTAAATCATTGTTCATTCGGCTCAGATGAGAGCTGGTTCAAAAACCTTTCCAAGTTACGGCCGCTGTGTTTGAGGAGTGATCAAAGGGAGTCTTTAATGTCTGTGAGACTACCAGTTACATAACTCTGCAGAGTATTTTTACTCCTCAGTTATTTATACACTAAACAATCAGTTTTTAGAGATATTGGAATGGTGGCTATGTCTGACCAACTATTTCCAGTGCAAATGCATTCAGCCTGAGATCGTAAAACCGAGTTAGAACCAACAAATCTTAAAGCTGTGGATGTATGACTCTTTTTGTACTTGATTCTCGTCGATGTGCACAGACGCTTTTGTGTGTATGAGCCAGTCGGAGGCCTTCAGGCATTGTCTCGATGAAACAATGTTTCGGAATTTTAAGAAGCGTCGGAGTCCCGATAAGAAATTAAACACGTCTGCAGCTCCGGTGAAAACAAATACGGCTACACTGAAACACCCGACACCGGGGCCTTGCTCCTTTCTGTGTGACCTCCCTCAAGCTGTTGTGTTTGTTATTCAGAGCGTGCCCTCCTGCACCTCTTTAGTGGGTTCACTCCCCCCGCCGCCCCCCCCGGGGGTCGCCGTCCAGCTCCAGAGCCCGTCCTCCCTCTCCAGGCCCCTTCTCCTCCATAACCCTGACACTGTGTTTTGCACTCGGCAGAGAGCAAGGACGCATTTGCTGGCAGCCTCTGTGTCCCACTGAGAGGGGGTCTGTTGTCTGACAGCCACAGAGTCGGCCCCTGCTCCGTTTAAAGAGGCGGACCTCATTTTCATTCGCGCTGCTTTTCTCCAGCCTAAACTTGGTGGAGAAAAACCTCACCGATCAGCCGAAATGTTCCTAAAAGAACGAATAGAAGGCGACTGCTGAATGGCTCTTAGCTGACTTACAGTTCTTGGATTTGTGACCAATAGTTCCCTCCTGTGAGTGCTGAAGCTTTTTTCTTTTTTTTTTCCAATTCAAGGCCTTGTGGCCTAACTCCCTCCAGTGTTGCAACGTTGTTGGTCTCAGCTGGTCCTCACTGGAAACCTTCTTTTCAAAACGAGCTGGTTACTTATTGTTCAGGGTCTGACTGACATAGTTTGTGTCGTCTTCTGGGCTTTTTGGACATGTTTGTACCTGGAACTTCACTGAGAGGGTAGTTGACGGTCAAGGTGAAATAATTCCCTTTTCACCAGAATAGGAATGTATATTCTCTAATAAAACTCTTGTGCTGTAGCCATTCTTTTCTTTTTTTATTCTAAAGGTGCCATCAAAGTAGCCAATCATAAAATGGGGGACATATTGAATCGGTAAAGCTCAGAAAAAACACTCCGCTCTCTATGAGTCTGCAATAAAACCTCAACCTGACACAGCTAGCATCCAGCAGATAACCGGGTTTCTCCGAAAAGTGGGGCTCCAGAGCCAACTGGGCACCAAAAACGAGAGCTCAGCGGGATTTAATTGATCAGTGATTGATTGAGGATTGTTTGATTTCCGCCGTCACAGGGCACAGTGCAGATACAGCCATGGTGAACGGCGACGGGGCTCATGAGCATACGGAGGAGGCAGAGTCGAAGCAGGATGGGAACGGTGACGCGGACGGAGGGGAGGACTCCAACGAACAGGAAGTGATAGTGATCCAGGACACGGGCTTCACTGTTAAGATCCAGGCACCTGGAACAGAGCCATTCGACCTGCAGGTGAGGACTGACTCCTCACGGGCATCGGATGATCTTTATTTTTATTTATCTCGATGGAATTGGTGCGTGGTTTCTGTGAAATGGTGTTGCAGCAAAAAACAGAAAAGATAACCTGCCTCCTCTCTCGCTCATTAGGTGTCCCCCCAGGAAATGGTGCAGGAAATCCATCAGGTGTTGATGGACCGCGAGGACACCTGCCACCGCACCTGCTTCTCCCTGCAGCTGGACGGAAACGTGTTGGACAACTTTGCCGAGCTGAAGTCCATCGAGGGCCTGCAGGAGGGCTCGCTGCTCAAGGTGGTGGAAGGTCAGAGCCGCGAGTTAAAAAAAACAAACACGCCATAAGACAAACCCACCATTAACCCTCTTTACGATGGAAGCACTGAGAGGTGCAACAGACAGAAACCTTTATTTTATTTCAGCTGGATGTTTTCACAACCTTCATACAGATAAAGATCTTGTTGGAGAAAATGAAAAGCTCACTTAGAAAATATGTTTTTTGTGTTTATCTAACCATAACTGTGCTTTTGAAATGCATCTGAGCTTGGTGAAGCTCTATTTCGTGTGAAACACAACTTCTGAAAGCCAAAAGAACACACCCACATAACATGTTTGGGGTTAGAATTACTCCTGTACACGCACACTCAACAAGAGTGAAACTTCTCTATCCAAGTAACCACAATCATCAAAAGGGACATGCATCTTAGTTTAAAACAAATCATAACACAAATAGACAATAATACAACATGTGTGTATATACTGTATACATAACCACAATTTTGGGGGTTTAGTGTAGCTACCAGGCAGATATTAAAGAGCTCATTCAAAGCTTTATAAGTATGTTCCGTAGGACTGCTGGCATAGGTCTAATCGGCTATCTCCAGCTGCTCATTGATTTGGAACCTTTTGTTACATAAGCTTTGTGTCAAACTGCCCACAAGGCAGTGAGAAGGGAGATGTATTACAGGTTACTGAAAGCTGGCTATAGAGGTATTTTTCAGGCTGTCCTGGGATTTTGTCCACAGTGGGAGAGAATAATTCCCCTTTGTGTGGACCTCTGTGTTGAGTTGTGTAGCTCAGCAGACTGTTTGCACACTAAAAAGCTCTTTAAGGACAATAAGACCTCAGGAACTTTCATAGCTTGTAACAAATGTTCAGTCTTCCTTCACCTTTTTCTTTCTTTTACCCTCCAGAGCCCTATACAGTACGGGAAGCTCGCATCCACGTACGCCACATCAGAGACCTGCTGAAAAGTCTGGATCCCTCCGACGCCTACAATGGAGTGGACTGCAACTCCTTGTCCTTCCTCAGCATCTTCACTGATGGAGACCTTGGAGGTATGACTTTAAGCCTGTCTTAGAGCTCAGACTGTGCTCTGTTGAAGTTATCTGATCCTGGTCTAGATATATGGCTCATGTTAACGTTCACAACGGCTCCAGTCATGGAGAACCCATCACTCATAGGTTCTAAAGTGCATTTGCTGGTAAGTTTATCACCAGAGAAGGCATCACAGGAGAAGTTCAGGTCTGACTCAGTAAACCTCTAAGACTGGGATTAGAAAACATTTTCACTCAGCTCGCCGCAATGTGTTGATGTGACTGCATTAAAGTCAGACTGAACGTTTCGCATAGATTTCGCTGACTCTCATAACGAGCTCGGACAAGGGCACCCTTTTCTTCAGCTGTAACCACTGAAGGAGAGAAAGTGGCCGAACTTGGCTTGTCCTGTTGCAGATAGTGGGAAGCGGAAGAAGAAGGGCAACGAGCTGGAGCAGATCGACTGCACGCCCCCTGAGCACATCCTGCCCGGCAGCAAAGAGCGCCCTCTGGTGCCCCTCCAGCCACAGAACAAGGACTGGAAGGTGAGTAGCGGCCTCTGCAAGGCCCTATTTGTTACGATTACAATATGACAGAAAAACGGCAGTCAAATAGTTTCTGTGACCTCATTAACAGCCCATGCAGTGCCTGAAGGTCCTGACTATGAGTGGCTGGAACCCTCCGCCTGGAAATAGAAAGATGCACGGTGACCTCATGTACCTGTACATTGTGACCGTGGAGGAGCGCCATGTCAGCGTCACCGCCTCCACACGCGGCTTCTACCTCAACCAGTCAGTCGGCCTTCTTTCCCTTTACAGTCATTTATGTAATGCCTCCAAGACAGAGGACTTGGTGGCTTTCTGTGATTTAGCTGGAGGCTGTCTTTATTTCTTCTCAAAGGCTCCAGGAAACAGATGCTTTTAGAAGTTGTTGATCATAAACGTCAGGTCGTGAATGGTTTGTTTCAGATCAACTACCTATACCTTCAACCCCAAGCCAGCCAATCCCAGCTTCCTGAGCCATTCTCTGGTGGAGCTGCTGAGCCAGATCAGCCCCGCCTTCAAGAAGAACTTCACTGCCCTGCAAAAGAAAAGGTCTGAAAGGAGTTGTGCTTACAGTTGAAGGTTTTTCTAAATCTCCTTCATTGGTGATCTTCCCTTTGTACATAATCCTTTTAAAGTTGATATATTCAATCATTAACCTTTTTCAACTTGGAGTTTTCCTGTTTTTGTTGGGACCTTCAATTATTATAAGACCACTCAAAAAGTAAAAAACTATTCTTGAATACGTAGCCAGAACTTTGTGCTTTTAGGACATGCTCAAAGCACACTTCAGATAAAATCTCTCAAATGTCAAAAAAAGAAATTTAATCAGCCGTAGAGGAAAAGGAGATCTAATATCTGTCTGTTTCACAGAGTACAGAGGCACCCGTTTGAGAGGATAGCAACTCCTTTCCAGGTGTACAGCTGGACCGCACCACAGGTCGACCATGCAATGGACTGCGTCCGAGCCGAGGACGCCTACACCTCCCGGCTGGGTTATGAGGAGCACATACCCGGACAGGTGGGCCCTGATGAAGCTAGCTGCGCAGGCACACGGATTGGACCCTCCACGGTGGTAACATCATGTGGATGTCTCCTCAGACCAGAGACTGGAACGAGGAGCTGCAGACCACCAGGGAGCTGCCCCGGAAGAACCTGCCTGAGCGACTGCTGAGAGAGAGAGCTATTTTTAAGGTACACTTGATTCTGGGTGGCCCTTCAGTGTTTTCTTTGGTTTCCAGGAGGGGGTCATGGGATGCCTGTTATCCCTTCTGGTTGAGAACCTTTCTGTCCCTGTATCGCTCCTAGGTCCACAGTGACTTTGCAGCTGCTGCCACAAGAGGCGCCATGGCAGTGATTGATGGCAACGTGATGGCAATCAACCCCGGCGAAGAGACGAGGATGCAGATGTTCATCTGGAACAACATCTTCTTCAGCCTGGGCTTCGACGTGCGGGACCATTACCGTGAGCTCGGGGGCGACGCGGCCGCCCACGCCGCGCCCACCAATGACTTGAACGGAGTGCGAGCTTACGGGGCCGTGGACGTGGAGGGGCTGTACACGCTGGGGACGGTGGTGGTGGACTACAGAGGCTACCGCGTCACAGCCCAGTCCATCATCCCCGGCATCCTGGAGCGCGAGCAGGAGCAGAGCGTCATCTACGGCTCCATCGACTTTGGGAAGACGGTCGTGTCCCACGGCAAATATCTGGAGCTGCTCGACAAAACCAGCAGGCCCCTGAAGGTCAGTAGCACCACTGTCTGTCCGCCGTTTCAGTGCGAAGGCGGTCCGAAAACGGGCCTTAAACCCACGTCAACGCGTTCTGCGTTCTGTCCCCGTCAGGTCCAAAGGCACAACGTTCTGAACGAGAAGGAGGAGACGGTGGAGCTGTGCTCCTCGGTGGAATGTAAAGGCATCATCGGGAATGACGGCAGACACTACATCCTGGACCTCCTTCGCACCTTTCCTCCTGACCTCAACTTCCTGCCCGTGGACGGAGAGGAGCTGTCTCCAGAGAGCCAGCGCGTCAGCTTCCCCCGTCAGCACCGGCACCGCTTGGCTTGTCTCCGCCAGGAGCTCATCGAGGCCTTCGTCGAGCACAGGTAGGCGGCGAGCTGTTTCCGGGGGGAGGACGCGGCGCCGGCGCCAACATGACGCCGACTGAAAGCTTCTGTCGCCCCCCAGGTATCTTCTCTTCATGAAGATGGCAGCATTGCAGCTCATGCAGCAAAAGGCAAACAAGGACTCTAATAAGACTGACGCGCCCGCCATCACTGAAAGCGCAGAGGCGCCTTCAGCGGAGGGCGGCGCGGACACCGCCCGGACACAGAGCACTGCCGCAGAGGCCCCCACTGCCGCGGAGGCCTCCACAGATAGCACAAGTCAGTCAGACAACAGCACCTCTGCCGCTTCCCAAACGGCAGCACCCGAGAGTGAGGAAAGCTCCTCCAAGCCCACAACAAACGGGCCTCTCGAACCGGCAGCCGCCCAGAATGGGGATTGCAAAAGCCCTCTGGAGGGTAAGGAGCTTGAGGAAAGTATTCCAGGATTAGCTCAGGCCAAAGAGCTGGCGGAGACCTTAGTTGCCGAAGATGGATCTGGTATTGGTACGTTCAGAAATGTCCCCCCCCGCCCCAAACTAGGCTGGGACAACGTGGGGAAAGCTACTCGGGTGGACTGCTGAAAGAACAAAAAGCAGCGTTTAGGAAAAACAAAACAAAAGAAAAAGACTTGATGTGAGCCAAACATTATCTGCGCATTTATTTCTGTGAGGAAGTGTAAGAACTTCTCATTGCGGGCAGCCGTGTCTTTCCACCCGACTAGCCGTCCCTGTCCAGTCCCCAGCCAGCAGCGGGGCAGAGTGTTGGACCCCACCCAGCCGTCCTCACCACGTGACCCTTTGCTGTAGAAATTTGACCCAAATATAGCAAACACTTAGATGGTGGGTTGATTAACTCCGGTGTGTTGTGGAATGCAGAGGTAACCCCAATTTTGATCCATGAGTGATCCGTGGTGTGCTCAGATGAACCTGACTCCCTGTAATCTGCATGTTGAATGGGCTGACCTAATCGTGGTGTTTGTGGTAGAGTTCACAATGTGGTGGATCTTTAGCTGAAGCCATGCCTACAGGTTTTTTGGTTAACATGGGCACATTAACAAGACAGCATTGGTCTCCAGCGTCTTCTAAAAAGCTAATTACAGTCGGGGGGGAGACTTAATGTGGGCATGGTGTAAGAAAGTCACCTTTTCACTTATGTTGGCGTGGTGTCATTTTTACTTTTGAACATGTTTTCATTGTACCTCCACCTTTCGACGCGCAGACCCCAAAAGCCGTGAAGTGGTCCTCAATGCCTGCAAGGCAGTCGGCTCCATCAGCAACACATCTTTTGATATCCGCTTCAATCCAGACATCTTCTCTCCGGGTGAGCGTCATTCTGCTGATCCAATAGGGAAATGACGGAGAAATATGTCACTTTAAAAATTCATTTTACATCTTAGAATTATATAAATGTTATAAATAAAGCACTTGGTAGCTTTATTATTCTGCAAGGTTACATGAACCTTAGATCATTTATTCAGAAGTCTTTCACTCAAATACGTAACAAGATGTTGGATGATTTTATGTGTAAGGAGTCAGGAAAAAGAAAAGGAAAAATTCAGATAACTTTGGTTCGCTCATCTTCGTTTCCATTGTCTTCACAAAGTCATTGAAGCGTTTGTGTGTTAAACCAGGAGTGCGCTTCCCAGAGGACTGCACAGAAGACGTCCAGAAGCAAAAGCAGCTTCTCAAAGACGCGGCTGCCTTCCTAGTGTCGTGTCAGATCCCATCATTGGTCAGTCATATTTACCCATTTTTGAAGGAAAAAGAAAACAAACGTAAGCCGGAGCTTGAGTCATGTGTTTTTCTGACCAGGTTAAAGACTGTTTGGACCACAGCGCTCTGCCCATGGATGGAGCCACTCTAACGGAGGCCTTGCACCAGAGAGGCATCAACGTTCGCTATTTGGGCACAGTTCTGGAATTTGTAGAGAAGACCCCGGCCAAAGCCCAGCTGGAGCACTTCTACGTGAGCCTGATTATTTTTTTCTTATTTCAGTATTGGCATAACACCCACGAGCAGCAAAGTACAGGTGTACTGACATTTTCCTCTTTCCGCTACCACAGAGAATAGGGATCATCGAGCTGATCACACGATGTGCAAAACACATCTTCAAAACGTACCTCCAGGTTTGTTGCTTTCACTAATACGATCCCGTGTCCGCGGCAGACACGAAGCGTCCGTTCAGGCGGCCGTTTCTGACGTCCCCTGTGTGTCCCTCAGGGCGTGGAGTTGTCGGCTCTGTCTGCGGCTGTCAGCCATTTCCTCAACTGCTTCCTGAGCTCCTTCCCCGACGCAGTGGCCCACCTGCCCGCCGACGAGCTGGTGTCGCGCCGCAAAAGCCGCAAGCGCCGCAACCGAGTCCCCGGCGGCGGGGACAACACGGCCTGGGCCAGCCTGACCCCCAGCGAGCTGTGGAAAAACATCGCCTCCGAAGCCCAGAGCTACTATCACTTCACCCTGCAGTGGTGAGGCCCCAAAGCAGGCTTCAAGCCTCCACCCCTGATACGCAGCAATCGGTTGAACTTGTCCCATCTCGTGTTCTCTCCTTATTCAGTGAAAGTGTTGACCAGGTGGTGGAGAAGTACAGTCTTCAGAAATCCACCCTGCTCCGAGAAATTTCTATAAAAACTGGCATCCAGGTGAATGTTCAGCCACCTCGACGTGTCCGTTGGACTTTCCTACGCCGGGCTTTTATTCTAAAGAAGTGTTGCCGTGTTTGGCTTTCAGATCCTGATAAAGGAGTACAACTTTGACAGTCGCCATAAGCCCGCCTTCACCGAAGAAGACATCCTGAACATCTTCCCCGTCGTGAAGCACGTCAACCCCAAAGCCTCAGATGCCTTCCACTTCTTCCAGAGCGGGCAGGCCAAAGTTCAGCAAGGTAACGCTGGCCCGACCGGCCCTGTTTTTAAACCCAGACCCTACCCCAGTCTGAGCTCTAGCGAAAATGTCCACCTTTGCCGTTTCCAGGTTTTCTGAAGGAAGGCTGTGAACTGATCAACGAGGCTTTGAACCTCTTCAACAACGTGTACGGAGCCATGCACGTGGAGATCTGTGCCTGTCTGCGCCTGCTGGCTCGCCTTAACTACATTATGGGAGACCACCCCGAGGTAACCCACAAATAAGCCGACTCTTTGTTGTTGGAGGTCTAAGGTCATGGCTGACATCGGTGTTTTAACCCGCAGGCTCTCAGCAACCAGCAGAAAGCTGTGCTGATGAGTGAAAGAGTCCTTGGCATCGAGCATCCCAACACAATTCAAGAATATGTAAGTAATGGCTGACAACGCTTCTCCGTCTCTTTCTGAATAAGCCTGTTGGCTCTGCCCACCCTCATGCTTGTTCCCCTTGCAGATGCACTTGGCTTTGTACTGCTTTGCAAACGGCCAGCTTTCGACTGCCCTGAAGCTGCTTTACCGCGCACGTTACCTCATGTTGTTGGTTTGCGGGGAGGACCACCCAGAGATGGCACTGATAGACGTGAGTGCAGTCTTCAGGTCTTTAAGTAAAGATTGCCTTCTTTTGACGATGATATCAGGATAAAGGCTCTTCTTGCTTCCACAGAGCAACATTGGGCTGGTGCTGCATGGAGTGATGGAGTATGATTTATCTCTGAGATTCCTGGAGAACGCCTTGACCATTAACACAAAGTATCACGGGGCCCGGTCCCTCAAAGTGGCTCTCAGGTGAGGAGATGATGGACGTCTCAGTACACAGAGGAAACGCAACGCCCGCACCACGACTAAAATTACCTTTTTGACTCCAGCTATCATTTGGTGGCGAGGGTGTACGAGAGCAAGGCCGAGTTCCGCTCTGCACTACAGCACGAGAAGGAGGGTTACACCATTTATAAGAACCAGGTAGGCCCTTCAGGAGCTGGCTTACTGTTATTGGGAGTGATTGAGAGATGTCTGAAGTATTTTTGTTTTGTTGTTGTTTTTTTAGATGGGTGAGGCCCATGAGAAAACCAAGGAGAGCTCTGAGTACCTGAAGTATCTCACCCAGCAGGCTGTGGCCCTGCAGAGAACAATGAATGAAATCTACAAGAATGGCTCAAATGCCAGCATCATGCCGCTCAAGGTGACTGCTCCTACTCAGTGTGCCTTCTGCGCCTCCATTTTATAGTTTGTCCAAAACCCCTAGCATTGATGCGTTTGTGTGGCACTGTTTTCCAGTTCACTGCCCCAAGCATGGCCAGTGTCCTGGAACAGCTCAACATCATCAACGGCATCATCTTTATACCACTCAGGTAGAGTCAGCGAGGAGCATTGGAAGTTAGTCTTCAAACTCACAAAACCTCACAAAATGTTCTCCTTTTCCCCATTTTTCAGTCAAAAGGATCTGGAGAACTTGAAGGCAGAGGTGCAGAGGCGGCAGCAGCTGCAGGAGCTGGGGAAAAGCAATGAGCCCACTGAGGACACCCCACTGGAACTTGAAGACAAAATCCCCATTGATTAATAGTTTAAAGCCCCCAACACAGCAACTTACTGCTAAGAGGGAGGGATTGGAATCCGCGACGAAAGAGTCGAGTCACCTATGGACCCGAGAACCAGGCAGTCCAAATCAGCATTGAAATCACAGGGGGGAGGGTGGGTCAGGGCAAGTCTAGAGACAAAATTGTATGGACTGTAGAACAAAGGAAGACAGAGCAGGGGTTTCCTACAAGGTAGGACAGAGAATGAGACAAAGTACAAACTGCATAGAATCAATGTTTTGTGCAATCTGAAAAGTCTCAGGCCCAGGAACCTGGGGATAAAGTGGCTGAGGGTGTGGGCTGCTTAGAAATAATTATATTTGGGAAAGGTATGCAGCCAGGGAAAAGAATGAGACCAAGAATGACCATGACATTGTAAACCAGAGCCTTATCCGCCGTACCACCATCTCCAATTCATGTTTCTTCTCAGCTCAAACTTCTCACAGTACTGTTGGCCCAGGAGCCGTCTTCACCTTGTTTAAAGATGCTTGAAGATACCCAGCCATGTAGACCCTCTTCCCACTTTCCCAAAGGTGCTCTAAATGACACAGCACCTACCCTGTCCAAGAACTCAGGGGTTCTTTCTATTGTGCACTAAGACCCAAATACAGTCAGTAAATTTGAGATTTTTCAAGAGGGGCTTGAGAATGTAATTTCCCGTCTCGATGGCTTCTTTGGGTCACTTTGCCGAGTCACCCATCATCATTACACTTTGCTCAAGGTTAATTAATTAAATCATTCTGTCCTTTGTACGTACAACATCCCAGGCAGGTGCCTGCTGTGTTTAGTTTGTTTAGTTTCTCTTTGTTCAAGCAAGCAAACAACAAAGTGAGCTTTCAACCGATTTAGTTTGATTTGCCATTTTTCTTTGTTTTGTTTTTTTTAAAGTTAAATGGATTTTTGTAAAAGTGCACAGGAGAATTGAGAAGGTACTTTATGCCTGTTGATCATCAGTTCATTTAAGCCATGTCTGTTTTATAGAAAATGTATAGAAGTGGAACAGATGTATAAATCTCTATTCGGTTTTGACAGGTTCTTGATGTTAATGGGAAAAGGCTGAATTGAAATACGTCCATTTTAACCGTAGATTTCTCTATCTGTATACTAGCTGTGTTCAATCTTCTATTTTTACACACTGAAAGAAAATATGTGCATGTGTGACAGTGTGCGTCTTTGTGTCATCCGGCAGAAAACCTGTTGGCCACCGCTGTCGTTGCTTTTGCCGCTTGCAAAGCTTGAATAAAGGCTAAGCGAACATTTGATCTCCAAATGTTTCAGTACATATCCACATGTTAAAATTGCTGTTGAAATGCAGATGTCCATTTTCTTAAAACATTCATGGCCACCGGTGTTGTAAATCTGCTTATGAATGAAACTGGTACTGAAATTAAATCTGCTTCTAACTCTTTGCACAGGTGCTCAAACCTTGGCAGTAGTGACAGATTTTTACTCTAGCTGTGTTGTTTTTTCTTTTTCTTTGTCTTTTTCATTTCTGGAAAAGAAATGTAATCTTTTCATATGAGACTAAAGTAGCCAGCAGTGAGCGGTTTTAGTGCACTTTCCCGTGCTGTGTGTTAACATGCACAGCATCACCAAAAGTGGACAAAAGCAGGGCTGCCTCAAGAGTAATGTACCAAAAAATGGTTTGTTTGTATACATGCAATGTATCCCTCCCATGGCAATTTGTTACTTAATTGTTGCAGTGTATAGGTGTATTTGATTAAAGCAATAGAGAGACAGTGCTGGAGCTGATTGTTTTTAGAAGATGCAGTTTTTACTTTGCACAAGACATGCAAGATGGACTACTTAATATAGGCCTGAAACAAAAGGAGCCACATTGAGAAAACCATTGGTGACCTCTTCGGACTGGAAGATGGGAATTGCTACAGAAATGTCCCTCAAACGTGTCACATTAGTGGCCGAGCATGGTGTGTATGTGGCTGTTATTTCTAATTCTGAATGGCACTTGGTGTGATAATGGGTAAAGATGAACAGCATATAAAGCTAAAATCTGAATCCTGATTTTGTTTTCTGGGTCTTGTATGTTATTTTGTGTTTCTCACCTGCCAGTGTTGCACACCAGCAACACCAACAGGGTCCATAAGGTGGCGCAATAACATTTTCTTATTGTGAAGGGGAGGAAAAATGACCTGAAGGACAGGGAGACGTTTTCAGTACACATGCAAGCGTTTTGTTTGACTTTGAAAACATAAATGAGGAATTTGTTTTTCAGTTTTGCAAATCCATCAACTGTGTTTGGATATATTCATAGTTTCAATGGGGGGGGGGGGGTCCATTCAGAAAACTGTGTTTGCATAATATAAACAATGTCCTCTTAAACAGTGCAATGATATCTAAAATATAATTATTAAAGGATGTAAATCTGAAATGGAAAAGAACACTGTTTTAAATTAAGCTTGGACTTAATTGTATTCTTTCACACAGAAACTTCAAATGTACCAGTTTCTAGTGCCACTGCACCCTGAGATGCAAAGCAGGTGTGACATTTAAATAAAGTCACCAGATATTAGATGGTTAATTTAAGGATATGAGCCACCTGTAAAGAGCTCAATGTTTGTGAGAAATGTCCTATCTATTCCCTAAACTGTAACTCCCTGCTACCGGTCAGATGGGTCCATTGTCTCTGTGTGATGAGGGAGTGTTTGATGAAATCTTTTCTGCACAACGGCTTTCTCGTGCGGCCTTGTGAGTCTGCTTTGCCTGGTAATGTGTGTTGTTGAAGTGTTGCTCTTTGCATACTAATCGATTATTTTTTGGGTTTGAGTGTGATTTTATATCAAAATGAACAAAATAAAACTACTAAACGATTTTCTTGAGGTTTTCATAACTTGTACAAGTCCCATGTAGTGGCCATGTCAACAGACCTTCAATGAAAAAAGTAAGATCCCTGATGGATTTGACTCCAATTGTATCATGAAATCAAGAAATGCTAGATATAAAGGATTCAGATCTAACAGGTGGAAAACAATTATTTAGGTTGCTGATATGTTACTTTATATGAATATATTAATCTACCAAGAATGTCTGTATTACTAATATACAGATAAGTGAAAGCTGCCACAAATGGGGGAAGGGGTAACATTTCAGATACATTCCTCATGTATAACTTAAAGAGTAGATCTAAGGAGGAAGCCTATTAAAACATTACACCATCACACCACATACACCACAGAATAAAAAACACTACATAAAGCACTAAAGAAAAATCACCAGGAGGAGTAACAGTAAATGCGCCCATTCAATGAAAAATACAAAATTACAGTGCTTTTAGACTGTCGTGTATGAAGGGTATTTTCTATGTTGTTTTCTATTAAAATGCACCGCAGCATTTGGACGGCCAAGCAAGAGTTAACGTTCAAATAAAAATGTTTTTTTCTGCTGTCAAGGGCGTGCGCGCTCCCGCTAAGCAGTGAACGCGAGTTTCGTGCGCGTCCCCGGCTGAAGGCGACTGCGGTAGCTGACGAGAAAACAAGCAAGCAGCGCTGAGGAGACAAGACGGGCACAGTTTACCTCCACATCACAAGATCATATACCGGAGCGGAAATTTCATGCCCTGCCGGGTTGTGTTACCGTTGGAGACAGCTGAGGATATCCACGGGCATAAGCAATAGGGTGAGTTTCAGTAGTTTGCGATTTAGAAGCCGGGCACAGTCGAAGGAATCCGGCGTTAGGTGGGGAAAATGACGATGTGGCTGTAATTTTTGCACCTCCTTTTTATGTCTCAAAATGGCGGATAGGCCGCTTGGGCTGGAGCAGCAGGTACCCTGTCAGTGGAGTTTATCCTTGTGTCCAGATAAGCTATTTTATACGCATACGGTTATTAGAGTCGATTTAGTTAAATATAGTAAACTTAACTTGTGTGCAGATTGTCACTGTCAGGGGGCAGAGTTAATCTTAGAGCTAACTTTCTGCCGGGAGGCTAACTTCGCCGACGTTAACTTTAGCTAACGTTAGCTAACGACAGCCGGTAACAGAAATGTTAAAGATACCTGCCGACACTGAGGCCAGGTAAAGCAGCCAGAAACACCCCGGTGTGATGTGTACGTGCACGCGACTCTGGCGTGAATTCGTTGACGTCGGTCGCAAGCTGGTAATAAGCAGAATTAGTTTGCTGCAACACTTTTTGCCAACACGAAATGTTGGATAAAACCTCGACGACACACAATATGTTGACCAGGGGACGGACGTTTGTGTATTGGTGGGTCTGTGATTGTTCATACGCTTGACGGTCGTTACAATGAGTCGGGATTATACCGGTGCAGCCACTGTTTTTGTTTGAAAAGAGCGTGAGGTCGGCGTTGTCTTGGTATTTTTTTGGAGCTGGACGGCAGGTTGTCCAGCCCTGGTGACATGCCCCTGCCGTTCGGCGCTGTCACGTCGCCGGACGGTCGCCGAGGTCTGCATCTGTGTGTGCTTCACGCAGCTTGTTGGCACCCTGTTTGGAAATCAGGGTGGAGCACAGCGGAGGGGATGTGTGTCTCTGAACACTGGGCACCGTGAGTGTGTCAGGCTTTTTCCTCTCGTGGCCACTGACAATTGCGCGTCACTACTTAACCTGGACTTGACGTCGGATATATAAAATGTATGAGTTCCTGGATGACTTACTCCCTCAGCCATGCCCGCTGCAGATCGACAGATATTGGGGCTCATTGAGTACTTTGTTTGGATTTGAATAGGCGTTGGCTTACAAAAAACAAAAGTGGCCGCTTCCTTTTCAGGTAAAATTATTCCTGCTTAGTCTATCTTGACTTATCTTAGTCTAACTTGACATTTCCTAAGGAACCTGTGGGGATGGCTCTCTTGTTTTGGGTCTCCAGCAATGCTGGCTACATTAGCTTTTCCAAGCAGATTTGAAAACCCCAGTTGTTTTGTTGAATATCACAATGTCTGACATGGATGTAACATTTTGTAATACTATCATATCCAAAGTATGAAAATTATTATGTGAGAAAAATAATACCTATTCAGTTCTTGGTCCACAACATTCATTTGCTATGCCCTTCTTGGTAATCCCTTCCTGTTTGATCATATAACTAATAAGTCCATTAGGTGAAGGTTAATTGATTTTTTCAAGTAGAATTGAGCCTTGTTGGCAAAAAACTGCATGATTCCTGTAAGAAAAGAAAAATGCACAAATGTTTGAACATAGAGCTGCAAAACCAGCTCTGAGTACAATTCTGAGATTAACTAGCACATTTTTACCAACTGCATTTAGGTTTCAGTTTGACAATAGTTAAATGTAATATTGGTATAATTTTGCTCAGAACTAAGGACTTTCCTCCAAAGTCTCTGCTTTACTTTAATTTGGTTCATTGAAGCTGGTGTTTCAGACTCAAAGTTCCTTATTTGTCCTGGGTATAATGAAAATATTTTTGTTGAAAGTGGATTAAGTGAAGTTCATTTTAATTTGACAAGGCCTAAAGTGTTCATAGTATCCATGGCAACTCCTTACTGTTGCCAGAAAGCGCCAACAATGGAGGCTGAGGTGTCTTTATCTTTTTGGTCAACCTGTTTCTAGGTGATTATGTTTGGCTGAAGGGCAAATACTCATACGGTTTTAGAATAGTTGACCTTCCTTCACTCGGTTGACTGTTCTTTACCCTCTTGCTACCAATAGCAGACATCAATCACCCTGCAAATGACTGCATTGACATAATGTGTAGATGAATGATGACACATCTGACAACCTAGCCTGGAGTCTTAACATCACCATTAATGCTGCTGATTGCCGTCTTAGCTGCCAGTTTTGGTCAACTGTTACCAGAGTTAATTGGAGAGTTTAAAGGTTTGACTTGAAAACGGTCCAATTTGCTAGCAAGCCAACAAAAACTGACAACTCTGGAAACACCTTTTGTTTATTTTTAGAATTTAATTTCAACCTGGAGATTTTTGGCATTGTGTGAATGTCACAGGAAGATTTTAAATGGGTCATTGCTGAAAGGGCACAGGCCTATTAGCTTTACTGGGAGGCGTCTCTTTTTTGTTTTTACTTACTGCTCATTATGCTAAATGATAACTATTTTGATCTTATTAATGTGAAAGCCATCTTGGATTCTTATTCTATTATGGAGAACCCTATTTTCCTGCATCTGTTTTTAATGATTTTTTTGGATTTCATTGTTATGCTATGACGTTAAGTTTGCTCCTTGGGGAGAATGTTACATCACCAGGAGAAAGAGAAGGTTTTTCCAGATTCCAGCCGTCAAACTCGACTGTCGTTACTGTTGCAGGATTATGTTTTCTGATTAAAAAATGTAAACATTTTTTTAAAAGCGCGTAACTTCATTGTAGATCTGGTGTTTTTATTCTCCTCTCCTTGTACTGCGTTCCACTAGGCTAGGGCGTGTTCCCTGACACAGACACACAACATTGGTTATTCAAAAAATGCTGCACACATTCCTCGTCTAACATTTAGCCGGTGACATAATGCTTGAAATGTTTTGCTGTCTTATATGAAACATTTTGAAGAGTGATGTTTGCTTTAGTATCTTTTGCAGACATCTATGTTTTCTTTTATGATGATGATGAGACTTCTTTGGTTGGTCTCATCTTTCAGCTTTTGTCAACAACCCGAACATCCTCCTTTTTGTTTTTTGTTTTTTTGTTATGTTATTCGTGTGGCTTTCTGTTTCTGGTTGAATGTTTGTCTTGGTTTGATTTACGTTTGTGTGAAGCAATCACCAGCTTTTAAATAAGATGCTGATTTAAACTATCAAAAATGTTTTATGTATGTTTACCCAATAGAACTGTTCTTTGTACACATACAAGGAGCGGTGGGCGTGGTCCCTCAGTTTTGACATTTAAATGGAGCCCCCTGTTTTACCCACCAGTAACAGAGGATGTTATTCTGTAATTTGTTAAATGCCGAAATTTAGCAGCAGACAACTCAATGAGACTCGTCAGCAAATTGTATCTGACAAAGTCATTACTGTAAAGGCCTCAGTTGTTGTTTAGTTCCTGCTGCTACACAAAGACGAGGATCAATGGGAGGAAGTCTCATTAGCATTATTAGACGTCAATAGGCAGATTTATGGATGCACCATGTCTGCAGCTCATTCTCCCTCAATCAAGACACGGCAGTTGTGCAGACAATTTGCCTTCTTATGTGATTGTGCTAGTACTTCAATTTTAAACCACAAATGAGGCTTTCGGAGACGGTTGTCTAACACATTAATGGATACACACTGCGATGACAGCTGCCAGCAGCACAGAGGGAAGTATCAATATATAGCTGATGACCTCGTTTTTCACCGAGCAGCAGCTGTACAGGTTGATATACTGCATGTCTGTTATAGGTGTTTTGTACGTGCAATTTTTGTGGCATTTTTAATGTTAGCACTGCCACTTTATTAATGGCGTTTTTAGTTCAGTGGCTCTGAATCACTGCTGAGATGCTGGGCAGAGGCCAGAAATCCCTTTCCTGTCGTAATCCACACACAGTCAGAGGTAGGCAGACATCTGGACTCTTGTCAAGCAGTGAAATCAGGGTCCAGAGGTTAGGCTTCTGCTATGTGAGTCTGTTTTCTGTGCAGCAGGTTTTCCACAATGTTCAAGTGTAAAATATGCAAATAGATAAGCAAACAAAAACATCAACAAATGCTTCGTGGTTCAGCTGGATGGGCTCTGTGGGATGGGTGGGACGATCTTACATTTGCAGCCTCAAGCAGCTGTGCTTCCTTTCAGCAAACAAAAGCAAGATGATTTAGAAGAATTTCTCCTGTGGGAAATTCAGCGCAGCACCATTGGCTACGATGGAAAAGGTGTGACTGTTTGATTTAAAAAAAAAAAAAAAAAAAAAAAAAAAAACATAAATAATTCCTCCTCTGGTGAAGCTTTCAATTTTAATCCATTGCCTCCTAACCTTAAATCAGATTTCATGGCCATCCTGTGTGTGTGTGTCAAACTTTTTTTCCCATCTTTTCTTATTTGGTTGCAGGTCAGAAAAAAAGAAATTGTTTGCATTTTTGGGTGCTGGTCTGAAATAGATTTGAAAGCTAAGGTTTATTTGAATTGTGGCCTGTTGGATGATGAGGTTGTTCTGAGAAAAAAGACCTCTTATTAACTGCATCGTGTTTTATTGACATATATTCACACCTGCTCTGATCTTAGTTTTCTCTGTTGGTTCACATTTAAGTGTTTTCTTTTCCCATTCCGCTCAGCTTACGTGCTCTTTATGTGTTATCATAAGGCGATAGTTCGGTTTCTGCATTTTGAAAAGAGCCCAACAATTAACGTGAGCCCACTCATCTGTGTCCTGTTTTCCGTTTCTGTTGGCACCCGGGTGGAAAAGTACGTTGCTTGAAGAATGTGGGTCAACTCTTGTATCTACTCGGGCAGGCATTTGCTATGATAGTAGAGCGATGGTAGAAAGGCCAACTGTGTGCAGGCTCTTATTAATGACATTGTACTTTGAGTAGCATCTGAGAAACGTAGTGAGAATCAATCTCTCTTGGAGAGAAAATGTCTAATTCGTCTTGTTCTGTCAGTAAACCTTTGGGCATGTCCGTGGCCAACAGGAACATTTTCTTCCCCATTTACTTTTCGTGTCGTCGGCCTTGCATATCTAAAGCTGACTTTACTCTTTCATTTGCTTTCCAGATGCAGTGTAGACTTTGCTGGTGATTGGTCTGCAGGCTCTCCGCTTCTATCGTCCCTGGAGTCAGCCAGTTTGGGGGCAGATTCCTGCGTTCCCCACTCTCAAGTCGGAGTCTTTGTTTGGACAGAACCTCCCGGCTGCCACTGGAGTACGCAGCTCGTCCCTGTCCGTGTTGCTCGGATCTGCACAGCTCATCTCCCGGCTGAGGAGAGCGCAGCAGCTGCACACGATTCACGTTACCTACTGATCCCTCCCGACCCCGCCCACACTGCCCTGTCACCATGGTGCTGTCACAACGGCAACGGGATGAACTGTAAGTCGTCAGCATAGCTTTCATAGCATTTGTCTGAGATATGATGATGTCAGATTTAAGCTATGGACTTATATGGACTGATTTATGCTGCAAATGGTCACTTCTGCCCCATGCAACCACTTTTTCCTCCAATCTAAGATGTTATCATTAGTATTTGGCATTCTAAACGCTTTGAACTTGATTTATCAGAAATATTAATAACCATTATTAGACACTGAAACCAACCCGTCGACCATTATTACTTGAAATGTTACTTGACAGTTACTTTAAAAATAATTTTAGTTATTTTCTCTGTTAATTGATGAAACATTTCAACATAGATTCAACATAAACTGAAAAATGGTTTTGGTCCAACTGCAACGAAATGTTCAATAACTTCTGCATGCTTAAGGCTTAGGAGGCATTTCTTATCCTTCCCACTGACATTTTCTGTTGACATGTTGTGACAGCCTTATTATCCTGAAGCTCCTCTAATCAAATCTGTAGTCCAAACACAGTTTCTGCTGATCTGAATCTCATGTTTCTTTAAACTGCCCTAACCCATTAGTTAAATTACTGTATCAAATAGCTCAGTGTATGACTTCATACAAAAAGTTTTCAAGAAGCTTAGGAGGTATAAAGTAAACAAATGTATTTATAGATACAGATTTTATGTGTGTATATATATGTATACATATATATGTGTATTATGCATTTGTTTCCAGTGCGTAGAAAGGTAAGACATCTTTTAAAACGGTCCGTTATCTGATCGCTGACATGGATTAAGCTCAAAAAGGAGAATTTTGATGATATGTTCTTTATATTTCCCCCCCCAAGAGGTTAATTCGAAAGCACAACTTTATCGATTCTTCCCCCCTACCTTACGCAATCCTGACAAAGTTTGTTGTTTGCACTTTAGCTAATATGACCTAAGAAACTCTGAGGGCCAACTTTGCACTCCATTTTCTGAGAGAAGCTCATAGTGCATAAACAGTGAACAATTAGCCCAACAGATCTGAACTATGGTGTTGGTACACAAAGAGATGTTTTCATTTCCGGCCTGGATAAAGAAAATACTGGATTTTGATCTTGTTGTAACTTAGTCCTTAAAATCCCCTTTACTTTAAAAGTACATTTAAATTAAAGATTAGAGATTTGCCTCTGACTTGACATGAGCCGACAGTCTTTGTTGTCATTTTTATCCCTCTCTGACACAGTCATTAGAACATGACAAGGCTCTCAGCCTTCCTGGCAGTGTTTCAGTGTATCTGTGGTTGGTGCCGTGGGAATGTCTGTTGGTATGGAGACGTCAATTGGAATGCTAATCTTTCATGCTATTTGAAATTCAGGAGGCTGAGAGGACCCCTCCCCTCCCACTTACTGCCCCCCATGGCCTCTTTTCTGTTGCATGAGCCACTGGTCCCATAGCTTACAGGAAACTGGTGTGGGACACTCCAGTCACACTCAAACATCTGTTGCATTCCACCCGTTGGAGATGGCACTTGGCCCAGTATGTGCTTCCGTTGATTTGGCCTTAAATTGCTCCTAATACCCCGTTTCCTAACTTCTGTCTCGTTTTTGGAAGCCAAATTAAAAACTAGTGGCTCGTTTTTAATTGAGCAGAGAGTGAGGGGGTTGGAGTTTTAACTGATCCCCCCCCCCCCTTTTTTTTTTTTTTCAACATGCCAACCACTTCAAGCTGTCAAATGACTTTGTGTTTTCTGCAGTTTTAGCAGGAACTACATTGGAGCAGATGTTGAGCATTTAAGAAAAATAAATAATTTGAAATCAGAAACATCAGAAATACAGATAAAGAAACAACGTTTTATTTGACCTGGCTCCCAACATATAGTGTGCAGTCAGCATTTCCTGAAAAGATAATCTGTCCCCTAAACTGGATTTTGTCAGCACCACAGTCAGATGCTTTGTCTGCGCAGCATCCCCACAACAAGTCTACTTTCGCCTGTTTTCCAAATGAAAGCCCATTTTTGTTTCTTTGCGGGTCAGGGGACTTATCCCTGGCAGCGTGTTGTAAAAATAGATATCAGAACACAGACTCTCCACTCCTGAAAGACCTGGAGGCAGCCTTGTGCAGATGGGCCTTTTGCTTTTGGACTTTCTGTCTACTTTAGAGAGAAACTCCCCTTAGCACCACCATGTCTTAGTCAACAAGACTGTTCATGTGATTTTCTTCTTTTCTGTTTCTCCCTGCTTCTGAATGTGGTGACATAACAGATAGCCTTTTAAAGTTTGTAGATCGATACCATTGCTGTTGTTGGTATGTTACATATTTACTCCCATTAGGTCCCATGGGCCCACAGCAGATATTTACTTTACCTGCCCAAAAACAGTTTTCATATGTTGACGCTCTTCCACATAAGCTGAACTGTCTGATTACATGACTCTATTCAGTCCATCTAATGCCTGCAGAAAATTGGTTGTATAATAAGAAAATTCCATTTGACTTCAATAAAACACGTGAGAACCTCTGGACATTTGGGACAGTGAAGATTTTCACAAGACAGATGTGGGATTTCCCCCAAAAATGGCAATCTGATGCATTCAGGTACCAGGACTCCGCATCAGTTCCACTGCTCTGGTGTGTAAAGAGTGGCAGTCTCCATCCACCTCACAATGTGATTACAATTTGAGATTCAATTCAGTTTTAATGGGTTACCAGTGTAGATTTACATTATCAACAGAAAAGAGAAGATGTTGCAAGAAACCTAGTAATAATAAAAACCGGAGGGCTTTTGTCAGATTGTCCTAAAGAGGATGACAAAGGACATTACACTCTATGAGATGATCTCTTCTTATTTTGACAACAGCACGCAATGGAAAAACCTCCAGGTTATTAGTTACGTGCTTTGCCAGAGGAGGCTAACACAAACAGGTTGATAACATGATAGAACAGTGAGTGTAGAGCTAACAGCAGGTGGTTTACAGTTTATTACTGACAAGTCAATAGTGAATTAAGAGTTTAGGGGAGGGGTGAGTGCCCTATTCCTGTGAAAGGATCCCCTCTGACCTCTGTAATTGATTTAGCTAAACACAATTTCAGCGTCAAAGGTGTTCACAGTGGGCATACAGACAGAGTTTTTTTCATGCTCAGAGCTGTGGGTTTATCTTCATTTAAATGTCTGTCCAATTTTCATCCCTTGGTCATACATTTTTGCACTTTCCGTTTAACTGGTTTGTTAATCTTTGTCAGTTTAGAGCAAAGATTTGTACTGAATTGCACACTGCATTTTGCATGACTTCAGTGTTTGGGTGTCTTCTTGGGATACACACAGGATTACTTTATACGGTCATAGCTCCTCATTTTAAAATAATAAGAAGGGAGATGCTGACTGTTACAACTCAACTGTTGTATATTTCTCCTTTCAGCGTGTTTCTGAATGCGTTTGATTAGTCTCTTTGTTTGTGCTCAGCTTTTTGTTCCCCTCACACTCACTCACAGGCTTCTCAAACATTTCCGTTTTGAGTCTTAGTCTCATAAAAGAGGTGCATTCACAGAAGAAATGTGTTAATTACCTGAAAGGACGACAACTGTTCTTTTCTGTGTCTGATAAAGGAATACACTTAATCACCTTTTTATTATAGTTTCCTGAAATTAAATTGTTGTCACTGTGGATGGAAAGTGCTATTTTTCAATGGAAGTCTAGTCAGTGAACCTAATTTGCTCTTTCTTTGTGCGTGATTTGAAGCCAGGTTTCACACAGGCTGATTATATGTAGCCAAGTAGGATTAAGGAATTTACACTTGGAGTTGGCTCAGTCAGTAAAGCTTCAACATCACCATGTGACAGAAAATGTTTATATGTCGCACACCCTCCACTGAAGGAGAGTGCGTGTTGTGTATTTTAGTGTGTTGACTACACAGTTAGGCCCTCTCCTTATTTATAACCTAAATTCATTTTACACATACACATAGAGGCTTCATCATGAAAAATAGTGAATGTTCTTTTAAGCCCAGACCTATTTAAAAAGATGATGATGTCAGGACCTTTTCTTTTCTCTGAATCTCTTTATGATGCCTCTGCTTTGAAGTTTTCTCTCAGTCTCATATTTGATCCTCTCTGGACTAACTAACCTGTTTCACATGGAAAGTGGACAGTCTCATACTAATCAGCTTTTTAGAGCAAATGTTCTGAATAGACGTAGGAAATCAAGTGAAGGGAATTTCTACCACTTGGAGGGGGGATTCTGATTGTTTGGTCACTGTTCAGTGTGATGCCTCATGTCTCAACAAAGGCCACAGTGCTTTTCACTATCAGTCAAGCATGTAAAAAATGACAATGGATGTCACCTCCCACACCCATCTATTTGCAACTGAGCAGTCGGAGGGTAATGTCATGATTTTGGTTCCTTGCAGATATAAGCTGGTTAGGATACTAATATATCTGTTAGTCTGGTTTCCTTTATGCTCCCTGCTTTTCTTAGTTTGTGTCCTGATGTTTTCACACATTTAACATTTAAGCCATAGTACTGATTCATTTTTCCGATGAAACCCAATGAATGCCAATTAATCAGGTTATGTGTGAGGTGTGAATACATATGCTATCGAAATGCATTTCATTAGCACATCGACATTAAAAAAAAGCTTCAACCAGACCTTACAAAATACTTGAGTGAGACTCAATGAAATCAAGCTTTTCACAGCCTTCACATTACCACTGTACCTACCAGCCCACTTTCTTCTCCCTTTTGTTGTTGTTGTTTTGTTTGCATTTGTAGGTTAGCTGTGTGCCTTCTGTTTTTAGATAATAACTGACAGCTAACAGTGGTCTTCATTGTACATACAGCCAGATTTGCATCTGGTTTGTTCTTACTGGAAAGCTCATGAAGAACAAAGTGTGTCTACTTTCACCACGTCATCCATCACTTTTACATTAGCATAAATGATCCCAGAAGATTTAGAGAATGAACATAATCCTATTCACACATATTTCAGCTGTGGTGAGAATGGATCATATTTTAGTGTAATATCATGACCTTTAGTTGAAGTTAGAAAAACATTTGAGTGGTTAGCAGAGGCTGTGCTCAAACTGCTGCCATGTTCTGTTGGTACAGAAGTCATCTTCCCACAGACTAACCTCCAACCTTTTTGGAGCATAATCAAGCTACCGGAAAACCTCAAGCCCCATGTCCGCTCATTTGTCCAGATATTTTTGTCAGATGGAGCACGGAGGAGCTTTGAGCTGTCTGCTCAAAAAACTCATGAAATATTCCATAGTAAGATCCATTTTTATCTCTGCCAAGGGACTGCTCAGAGTTTGTAGACTGAAGCCCCTTTCTATTAAATATTTATTAGCTGCCTGAACTGGCCCTTACATAGTCTGGTTACAATGTTCCATGTGTCCAATGTGTGGTAGTGGACATAATGTGGTCCGTCAGCTGCCTACTTCACGTGTTTGTTGAATGTATCATAAAGGCTTTCTATTTCTGGCTCATTTTTGTACTGTTTTGGTTAATTTTTGATAAAATGTAAATGTCAGCAATCTCACGTTTAACAGTTTTAACCGTGAATTATGGGATGCTGTTACCATGAAGATAATAATTTACAAAAAAATGTATCTTAAAAAGGAATGCTTTGGATAATGTAGCTTACACTTTTCTAGAAAATATATTCCCCCAACAGGCAGTTGCGCAAACAGTTTGAGGTGGTTTTGCACAAGTTTTATGATGGAATCATTTGGTGATTCTAAATTTCCAAACAAAAAACATCCTGATCATTCACCAGTAATGCTGGTGATCCCAGTTCAGTCAGGACACAGTCTGGCTGAACTGAGCCGGTAGTGCTTTTCAGTCGGTTGGTGTGTTGCTTCTGTGATAGTGTGAAAGTGTATCATCATAAAGCAGGAACTGGGAGGAACTGATGCCGTCAGACATGCCGGACAGTTGACTCGCTGTCTTTTACGAAGGATGAGCTCATGCGCCTTTTCTTCATCCATCTTTGTCCCTTCATTTGAGGCACAGCTCTGCTTTCCTCATTTGAAGCTTTTAGTAAGTACGTCTAGAGAGCTAACAAATCACAGCACAGATGTCACCACCTGAGGTTCCCAGTGGCTCTGCTTCACTTATGAGATAACTTGCACTCTTAGCAGATGTTGAAGGTTTGAGACATTGCTGTGAGATACTCATTCATGATTTTCTCTCTGATCTCACTGAGCAGAGAAAGAGTGGTTACTGCTTCTATTGTTCTTTTTGTTCGCCTGAATGTCCAAATACTCGCCCTGCCCTCCTGTTCCTCATCTTGATCTCCTCATCTGGATGCTAGTAACTATGGAAACCAGCCGCTGTGCTCTTCTTTATTAGTCCACACCTGATTCTTTTCCTTCTCCTTCCCCACCCATTCCTGAAGGACACAGCCTGCTTAAAACTGCGCAATGATCTATTTTTTTAATTTACCGTAAAGACTGGGCTTAGTGAGTCTGGAACTCTTAAACCAAACATAAATTTCAGCTTGTGTGTTGAGGTTTATATTCCAGCCTTAATTTTTGTGCACCTGTTGTGTGTAAATAACATGGTTGTGTGTTGTTTGTCACGTGGTAGAAACAGGCTATCATTTGCCGATATCGTCTGGATCTATGCCACGTGGTTGATATCTGATACAATGCTGGCGCTTGTCTTTGTAATGTCGGATTTTCTGGTCAAGGTGCTGGTGGGAAAGAATAGGTATGTAAACATGCACCCTAAGACCATTTCAAGACTTCCTCTGAGCATTGGTTTCCTGTTCTTCTGTCTCTGTGCTTTCTGGGGCGTACATGCACACCTTGACTCTCCGCATTGTTTTTTTTAACTAGCTGTCAAAGGGGCAGATAACCTCCTGCTAACCTTGAGCCGTAATAACGACTGCTCCTGTTGTCTGGGGGATTCAGGTGCTCGGAGGAAGGAGGGGGGGGCTCTACCGAACACTCTCTGAGAGGGCACAGAGGGCAGAGGCTGAGCTGACAGATTGTGCCCCCCACCCCCTTCATATTGGCACCTCTAAGCGTTGCCTGCCTGACAGCTTGTCTGGCATCTTCGGCCTTTAATGGTGTGCAAGAACACAGGAGGGCCGTAAGATACTGTGAGTGGAGGAGGGATAGAATGTTTCTATCCGGTCTGAGCACATTCATTGTTTTCCTCTGTTAAACTGGAGGTACATCTAGCAACTGGGAGAAATGGTTAGTGTTAAACTTTATTGTTTTAATCTACCTATGATCACACAATTATAGATAACGCCATTATTTTTTGGCACTTTAGACTTTTTGTTTTTACAGTGGGACCATGTGATAGCTCATAATTATAATAATATTATAATGATATATCTTCAGGTGCCACAAGACAAAAGGTAGAAGTGTTTCTTTCTGTCCTCTGCTGATGAGCTGATTTAATAAATCCACATCTCAGTGATGGAACCAAACCATCTTGTTGGAGATGGTATGGATTTTCTTGTTGGAGCAGATGTTGGTGTTTGTGGTGTGAAAATCGAAGGATTATATAGGCCTTTGGAATTGGCTACAGTCCAAAACAGCAGTCCTGATTTGAGCCTTATCTTCACAAAATTGGGCGGTCAGTTTCACTATGTATGTTTTATTAATGAGGTCAGAGCTGATGAATGATGAGACTTGAATTAGGAGAGAAACTCGTTACCAGTTTAAAAAAAAAAGAATATTAATGATGTATTTCAGTGGGAAGATGATTAAAGGTGATAGAAATAGGGTAGAAAAATACTTTATTCACGTCATCAGTGGGGGAAATTCAAATACTCTTGTAGCTTACATTGAAATATTTACAAATAGAAAACATAGACAAATTAATAGATGAAATGAATATAAATGAATACCAATAACCGTAATAATCATCAGAAAAGATGTTAGATAAAGTTAAACTGTTAGATGTTGCTGTTTAAAAAAACATTATGGCCGTAAGAAGAAAAAATAAAGACTGAAGATAGACGTAAGAAACACGTGCACAAAGGGGAATATGTTGGTTGGCAAAGGAGTGTGTTTATATATAATTCACTTTTCTGCACCCTCGTGAGAAGCTAATTGGCTAGAGAATAAAAGATGTGAGGATTTGTGGTATGAACATCATTAATGGCTCTTTAGTAAATTGAACAGAATCTACAGTCCAAAAAACCGACCTGTGTGTGTGTGTGTGGCAGCTCAGGAGACAAAAACGGGAAGAGCGAAGGCGGCTTCCCCTCTCTCTGCTTTCAGCTCTGCCTGACGGTTCTATTGTCTGTCCTATCTGGCCATCTATCTTCACATATTTGAAATACTAGTGCTGCTGCTTACTGCTGCTTGTCTCCTCACCACCTTTGTGCTGGCCTCCTGAAAACTCAAGCTGAGGGGCTCTGAATATCAGCCTGTGTTATTCTGCAAACTGGAGCCTGACAAGGGGATGTAGTATCTGTGGCCAAAAGCGTTCAGGGTTCTAGGGGATTGTTCAGGCTGTGCATGATCTGTCTGCTTTTCTTTATGTGTGTTAGCAGGTAATGGCTGCTGTACACTGCTTCTCATTTTCCTCATATCGACACCATGGGGAGTCGTCCACTCCCATTATTTGCCCACAGCAACAAGAGCTCGTTATAGACGTTAGACAGATGTGCTCTCAGTTTGTATCAGATGGGTGGAGGAGGCTGTGTGTGCGTGTGTGAGAGATGGGGAGCTGCAAAGGTTTGTTGTTATAGATGGTGCCAAGTGTTAGGCAGAATTCATGCATGCAAAGCATTTTTATTGTATGGGGTGATAACCGTGTGAAAAGCATGCTAATTCTGCATCTTTTTCCGACAGCTTTGTCAAACCTGCTAATTTTTAGTCTTTGTTTTATATTTTTAAGTACACGTCCAATACGCATATCAGTTCTGCAACTATCCTGTCTGCTAAGCAGGAGAACTAATTATTCTTCCTTTGTGTCTTTCAGAAATCGAGCGATAGCTGATTATCTACGTTCCAATGGATACGAAGAAGCATATTCCACTTTCAAGAAAGAGGCGGAATTGGATAATGTGAGTAGCTTGAGGGTTCACTCATACATCTGTAGAGCCAATCAGACCAATTTAAATAAACAGTATAACTTGATTTCACCTCATTTTTTCATTTTAGTCAACATGTTCTTGGCTGTGACAAGCAGAGGTGTCTGATGGGGGGTTTACCAACTGAGTTTTTAGGAAAGCTTTTAGTCACCTGGAAATGTTACGTTATACCCGCTGTTGTTTGTCGCTCTTCCTGAAGTCTTTGTTAGTCAGAGGAACCTCATTCCTAAGTCTTATGAACCGTATTCCTTACATTTCTCCATTACTCGGAAATAACCAGAGGTACTCTTTTATGCATGCATTGACATGCATGAAAGCACAAATGAAGGTTCTCTGTTCAAACAGACTTGCATTAAACGCAAACTGTCACGATGGTCATCATGGTTTTATTTTCACGTGTTGGAGCAATGCAGTGAGAATTTTTATTTTTGTTTTGTCTTCGTCCATCTCCGCAGATGAACTGTGAGAGAGGCGGACAGAATGAATAATTAAAGTTTTAGACGCTCCACTTCCTGTTAACTGAATGTTAAAACTGATTTTTAAAAAATGTTTGCACATTTTTACAGTACTCTGTTTTAACCTTGTCTTCATGTGACACCCAGCACCCAACCTCTTAAGTCTTCACCTGCTCCTCTCCCTGTTCTCCATGTGCCAGCCTTAGGAAGCAGGCTGAATAATGGATGAATGCCACAGAGGACCTGTTGGGTTTTAGCTCTCACACACAAGTCCTAATTGGACCTTATCAAACAACAAAGTTGATTTTAGCTCCTTTTTTCAGGGCTTCATTGTTAAACAATCATTACATATTCTTCTTATGTGTATGTGAATAAAATACTCTTAACTTTGATCTTTTGTGGCTATTTAAGTGGCAGTTTAAGGTCACTGCATTGTGAGGTTCTATACACTGCTAGGAATAATTTATAGAAGTCACCCTTGACTTTTTTTCCCCCTCTTGAATTAGAAAAGCAATCGCCACATACCTGCATGTGCAGTCAAACACACATATGTGCATATTATGGGCAGCCAATAGGTTGGCAGACTGCACAAAGTCTGGCACATGTGTTTGAGCGAGTGTCTTTGTTTGTGTTGGCGTGCAGGCAGATGGCAGATTAGATGATTGCATACGTGTCCAAACTGGGATCCCTGATCTCTGTCAATGTTTTTCTTTCTCCCTCAATTTTCCAGAATGCATGTCTTTGTTCTGTCACTCTTTTCTGAGCACAGCTCACATTAGTCCCAGGAATCGAGTGTTACCTCTGATCATTAAAAAGTGTTCGGTTCAGGAAGTGGTTCTTCACACCTCAAGAATATCAGCTTTGTTTTCCAGCTGGGATGGAGGAAGTAGCTGTGAAATGGGAACACATTGCTAATTTTCTCCCTCACTGTGTGAGAGTCTGATGCTTTTCTTGTTAGTAGGGTCCTCAAAGCATGGATAAGGTGGCACCACCACTGTTGTATTGATTGTAGCGCTGAGCTGACCATTAACTCTAAACATGAACTTGAAGAATTTCCCGCTCCCAAAGGTTGGAAACCTTTACTAACTCACTTGATAGACATAGACAAAAAGATCAATAGAAAAAAAGAAAATTTCAAGCAAAAGTTTTTATTTTAGTTCTTCCAGCACTGATGGGGAAATGGAAAAAGCAGGTTCTTTTTCAGGATCATAAAGAAATGGATGTTCTAATTCATCCTGGAAGTAAAGAGAAACCCAAGCTGCATTGTTTTTCTGAGGAGGAAGTGTTGGACTGTTTGTGCTTCGGTGGTTATGTAAAAGGTGACCGGGTCTTGGCATTAGTCTGCAGGTGAAATCAGACTTGTCTGCCAGGACTGCCACAAGTAAACTTCCACCGCTGCCTCCAGTACCGGCTGTGTAGTGGTAAGCCGCCTAAGCCTTTCTGCAGGAGATTAGCTTGAGTGAGAAGGATTAGGACAGGGATGTATGTGTAGTTTTTCTGTGTTTGTGGGGGGGTGCATATTGCTGACCGTCAGTCTTGGACTATGAGGGGTGTGTGTAAATAATTCCCACCTCTTTCTTACTATAGACAAAGACCTCAACATGCCACCCCAGCTGCCCCCCCATCCCACAGGCCCACTAATTATTGCTAAGCCCACCACTTTGATTGGCTTTCTTTTCCTGATATCCCCTCCTTTCTCCACAGAATGAAGAATTGGATAAGAAGTATGCTGGTCTCTTGGAAAAAAAATGGACCTCAGTCATCAGATTACAAAAGAAGGTTTGTGGATTTTTCCTCTTCAAAGAATGCTGGTGGGGATTATAGTCTTGTGAACAGTTCGTGACATTACTTCTGATCCACCGGTGATGCTGAAAAAGTACCAAAACTACTGTTGAAAGAGAGATTTGAACGAAAGTAAAAGGAAACCTTTAAAGTTGTGAATCTCTTCCTGTGTGTAAGCATATGAACGACTGTACATGTAGTTTACCAACCTGTGACCTTCTGCACATGGACAGGTGATGGAGCTGGAATCCAAACTGAATGAGGCTAAAGAAGAGATCACCTTGGGTGGGCCTGTGAGTCAGAAGCGTGATCCCAAAGAGTGGATCCCTCGCCCACCAGAAAGGTACGCGCTGAGTGGCCACCGCAGCCCGGTCACGCGTGTCATCTTCCACCCGGTCTTCAGCGTCATGGTGTCCGCTTCGGAGGATGCCACAATAAAGGTCAGTGCTGCTGGATGGTAAAAACTTTCAGTTAGACAGCTTGAGGTAGACCATCTGGTTCAGATCTACTGCACTGGTCATTTGGTCAGTGCTGAATATTATTGGTCTTGATTTTACACTCCACTGGTCTGTCTCTCCAATAGATCACACAGCTATATTTTTTATTTGTCTGTATCCTCCTATGATCTCTACTTTCCACATATAAACTCCACAGTCTGATTCTGGGTTATTTTTGCCGCATCTCTCCACTCTCCACTTTTTCCTTACAATGCCAGTTCTTAGCGTAGCTATTTGTTAAGTATATATTATTCATGAGTCAGTAACAACTACACCCACACAGCAGGGATTCCCCACCACATTTTTGGCAAAGCTCTCTTCTTTCCACGCCACCTCCAAGCATCCGCCTCCCAGTATCGGGGACTTAAAGCTTTTTTGTCCCATCGTGACAGTCCACCAACAGCTATCCATCTGTCCATCAAGGCCAGGTTTTGGTGGGGGAAAAGGAAAATCAGCCCTGCTTTCTGCCATCTTGTCCTTGTTGCTTCAGCCTTCTGTGACCCGGACTGTCTCTGTTTCTCAACGTTCCATTTTTCTCCTGAAGAAAAGAACAGATCATGCGCTTTCTCCTGATAAAACCAGTCTGATCCGGTCATGATGAGGTGGTTTCACTTTAATGCAGTGTCCACAAGTGGAAACTGTGCAGCAGTTCTCTTCTTCATGGATCTTGCAGATATTTGTAATTTCTATTTTTTTAATGCAGCATGTTAATTGGTCTCTGTGAGAAAACCGAATAATTTTATAACCTTTTTGGCTGTCTTCAAAAATAACCAACCAGGAAAAATGTATTTTTTCCATTAATTTGGAATGCATGTAAATCGCCATTTTCTGGGTCTGGAGCTTTTAGATATGTCAAGTGAATTTCAATGAGGGCAGAGCACCGAGTCGGTGGGGGGCACATTCACTGACCTACTGCAAACAGAAGTCTGTATTTCTTTTTTCTTTTTAAGTTGTGTTTTTCTGCTGTTGCATGCAGTTAATGCATTCTGTGGGCTTAAATGCTGCTAATGAGTGATGTAAAGAGAGCTGACTGATAAAGCCGGCACAGACATCCCCCCTGTAGCTTCCTTTGGAGCAGGGCAAAGGCACTTTAGGGATGGGGGAGGTGAGGGTGGAGGTCCTCTGTCACAATCTGCCCAAAATCCCCTCACCCCAAAAGAAGGGTACAAGGAGGATTTATCCCTCTGCGACAAACCGTCTGTCTGCTGAAAGCATGGACTAAACAGCTTTTTCAGGCTTACTTCTGTTCACTTCAAATAGCTATGCCAGACTCAGCACTTTACACTGTCTCCTGGCTTTTATAAGGTGGAACTCTAGTAGCAATCAGCATGAGCAACTGTGACTTATCACATATGTTGTAATACATCATAGAAAGGGTCCGTTTTACAGATCAGTAGTTGTTTTGGGTTAATATGAATTGCAAATCATACTTGTAGGGACCTCCTAGATATTTCCTCCTTTGCTGGGCATTGATACGAAGAGCAAAAACATGCTTCTGTATAACATACGGGTCTGTTTGTTTGTGCCTCAAATAATGACAGGATACGCTTTGTTCTCCAGGTCTGGGACTACGAGACAGGAGACTTTGAACGCACACTGAAAGGCCACACAGACTCCGTGCAGGACATCTCATTTGACCAGACTGGCAAGCTGCTGGCTTCCTGCTCTGCAGACATGACGATCAAACTGTGGGACTTCCAAGGCTTTGAGTGCATCAGGACCATGCATGGTAAGAAGATGGAACTACTCTGTGAGCATAAGCACTCTGTCATGGTTCACAGGTCACTCCTGTCCGAACGCTGTTTGACTATACACTGTGCTCAGGTGGTTCAAATGCCGTTTGTTGTCACATCCAATGAGTTCAAAGAATCTCCAGGTCACCAGACTCTGTGCTGTCACAACACACAGTCCCCAGAGCACAAATAATTTATTTAAACATGACATATATTTTACTATATTTATCCTTTCCTCTGTTTAACTGTCCTAAAGCACTCTCCATTGGTTTACACCTTTACTACCTAGTTATTGATGGAATGATAGATTATCAGCATGAGCCTTCCTGAATTATGAATCATACTGGAGTAATTTAGGACTGAAGCTCCTCCTGTAAAGCAGACATCAAGATTGACAGTACAGATCAGCCTATTTGGGAACAGACAGACAAGTTACATTAAGCTTCCAGTCCATCCCAGCATCCATCAAGTAGCAGCTGTGATTTTTTTTTTTTCAAAGGTGGAGGTGTTCGAGGCTGTAAGGTGTTTATAAACTTAAAACAAATTAGTTCTGTTCACCTCCCTGAAGTATCCTGAGTACAGATCACCAAAACCTGACACAGAAGTGTGTCAGGTTTTGGTTCTGTCCTTTACCATTTCCTCTTTATCGCTCTTTTTCCTTTAATCTCAGTTCTTATTTAGCTGCTTAACCTTTCCTTCTTTTTGTAATCCATGACTCCTTTTACACATCTTTAAGTAAAAAAAAAAAAAAAAAAAAAAAGGCATGGCCAACTGGTGGAGTAGATTAGCGCTGATTTAGGAGGGAGTTTAATTATCCTACTGTGTAGCTGCCACCTACCATTACAGCCTGGTGGCATGTATAAGCATTCTCCTTCTCGCACACACACACACACACATGTGCTAAGGCTCTTTTCTCCAAGCATCCTCTCTGTTGTCTTTGTCTTTTGAGGTATTTAAATATGGCCCAGCGTCTTGGTAATTAGACATCTCTTATCCTCCATGGAACAAGAGAAGCACATACAAATTGGCTGCCTAGCTTGTCATTTAATTGGCTAATTATGACCAAGCCTGTCGTTTTTGCACAGTTGGGAGTCGAAGATGTTAAAATTGTGACTGAATGACGAGTCTGGTGGTTAGTGTAGAGTATCATGTGCATGTTGTCTAAAATGAATAAATTCCATATAAAACCAGTTTAAGTAGGCTTGCTTGTGCTTTTTATTTCCCAGCATCAACTTACATTTTTTTGTCTTTTTGGCAGGACATGACCACAACGTTTCTTCTGTAGCCATCATGCCCAATGGGGATCACATCATTTCTGCCTCCAGGGACAAAACCATGAAAATGTGGGAGGTGGCAACTGGGTATGAGTAAACGCCAAAGCCACAGTGTTTGTTAAACGTTTATCTTTAGTGCAAAGTTTTTTCTCTCACTCTTTGGCTCCACTCTGACAGTTGGATCTATTTTTGTCCTCCATCAGATACTGTGTGAAGACCTTTACAGGCCACAGGGAGTGGGTCCGTATGGTGAGACCCAACCAGGACGGCACGCTGCTCGCCAGCTGCTCCAACGACCAGACAGTTCGCGTTTGGGTCGTGGCTACCAAAGAATGTAAAGCTGAGCTGCGGGAGCATGAACACGTGGTGGAGTGCATCTCGTGGGCACCAGAGAGCGCCTATCCTACCATCCTCGACGCCACAGGCTCCGAGGTAAAGGCGGGTTAGGGTCAGTCGACAGTTCCTCCACAGAGAGTCTAAACTTTTGGCTCTCTGCTGCTTACGATCACGTTGTATTTGTCGACATCAGCTGGTGAACACAGAGATGGTTAAAGTGTGATCATGAACTGTCCGTGGTGAAAAAATTGGTGGGTCTTGATGGTATCAGGAAGTGCTTTCAGGCAATCTGTTCCAGCCGTGTGCTGTTAGTCACTCCCAAAGCATGCCGATAGAGCTTGTGTGCCTCCTCCAATGAAAGTAAACCAAACAGGAAAAGTCATAGTCGTGTCCCAAGACATGACACGTGTTGTGATGTGTTACCATGGTGATGGATTCTCACGCCATCAGATGATGAATGTCGTTCTACTCCCACATGGGTTTTATACGTCACAGCTCAGACTGAAAGCCATGTGAAGCCGGCAGCTTGAAATCAAGAGTGTGTATATGCACAGACCGAATACCCACACAGCCTGCAGTCAGCCCACTCTCCCCATCAAGTCTTGTGATCTCCAGCGTGTCCAATGAAGCATCAACAGATTAAAATATTTCTCCCCTCTCAGCAGTTGTCGCTCTACAACATATGCTCCTGTTTCTGTTGTTTATAGAGAGTTACATAGAAGTGCTGGTGTTTTTAAACGCAGTCTTAACCTGCAGTTCAGATGCCAATGTAAAAGAAGTCGGTCTGAATAGTCACCGAGCACAGCCGCTGTTAAAGGCGAAAGCCATCCAGAAGAAGGTTTTTCTGCTACACGTGCAGGCATCAGATCAAAGCTACTGGGTAGATTATGTATTTGAATTGGAGAATTGTCTGTGTTCTAACTAATTTTGTTGGAGAAAAAAATGGTATGAGACAGCTGTGTAGCTCACGTGCTTTCTAACCAGCAAGCCAGCAGCACAAAATCTGTGAAGAAGGCTGTGCAGGTCCGACAGGGCTGACAGTGGATGTGCACGTGTAGTGACATCTTAAGTACTGTGTCACACACGCTTTGTTCTTCAGTGTAAGATTCATTTGATTTAATCAGCTCACTACCCCGTTTTACTTTAATTTAGTCTGTAAAGTTTCAGAAATAATAAATGTTGTGTTTTTTTCCCTTTTTGTTGTTTGAACAGAGCAAGAAGAGCGGGAAGCCGGGCCCCTTTCTGCTCTCTGGCTCCAGAGACAAAACCATCAAGATGTGGGACATCAGCACTGGGATGTGCCTTATGACACTGGTGAGGACCAATCCCTGTTAGCAGCATCAGTATAACCGTCTTTGTTTCGATTTCTCCCGGGAAAATACTCTGCTTCCTCAGTTGGACGAATCGGGCTTCACATGTGTTCACAGGTTGGACATGACAACTGGGTGCGTGGGATTCTCTTCCACCCTGGAGGAAAGTTCATTGTGTCCTGTGCGGATGACAAGACCCTGAGGATCTGGGACTACAAGAACAAGCGCTGCCAGAAAACCCTTGGTGCCCACGAACACTTTGTTACCTCTCTGGGTGAGTAACCTCTCACTAACACAGGAGACCTCTCTATTCAGCCAGTTGTTCATCAGTGCCCATTTTGTTTAAGTTAGTTGCATTTTCCCAACACGATCAGACCACAAGCCAGTAAGGAGTCACTCGGTTTTAGTATTGACTTGGTTTATTCCTCTGTGCCATCGGAGCTTTGTAGTTGTCCTGAAACTAAAAAGCTCCACAGCAGCAGCGAATGATGTAGCTCTCTGTATCTCGGATGAAAGCCACCGCATACGTCCAATTAAGGGGCTTTGACAATTCAGTTTTTTTACAATATTTTTTTCTTTGTTGTGATGATATTTATTTATTTTACAGATTTCCACAAGGCCGCCCCCTTCGTGGTCACCGGGAGCGTAGATCAAACAGTAAAAGTGTGGGAGTGCCGCTGATTTTCATCGTGGAGGACTGGACCATCACCTTGATCACCCAGGCTCTCCTCTAGGTCCCGCACCCCCCCTCCCTCCTGCCATCCCACCCTTCCCTCTCATCCCACCTCCCTCACCTGCCACCCAAACCCACCCTGCACATCTTGGCCTCCTCCGGCTGCACTCACCACCCTGGTTATTTACCCATCGCGCTCTCTGGTCCAATTAATTTTGTCCTTCTGTGTAAATTATTCCTGGATGTAGATCGAGCTATTAAATGTTACACAAAAAAAGTATTCTTGCATGGTAATCCAAAATTGTATACTGTAAATTTACATAACGTTGTCTAGAAGTACCATAGGTTTAACACGGGGCTGAGCGTCTGTCACGCAGCCTTACCGACCGACCGACCGACCGAAGGCAGATGTTTTTGACTGGGTGTAAACGTAGGGCACTAAAAACCGATAATTTAAGAAATGACAGTGTCTTTATGTGTAAGATTTATTTTGTCTATTTTTGTATTTAGTTTTTTTCTGTTATTCCTCTCCTTCATTGTCGTAGTCTGTTGGTGCCTAGCTTGGTGACATGAAAATAAGGCAGGAAAAGTGTGTACGACACGATGAGATGTGTGCGGGGCTTTGTTATTGAGATAATCTGTAGCTTTATAACATCACTTCTCAAGTGTGCATACTATTGCTCTTCATGTGGAACTAGGTAAAATTTTAATGACTATGTGTGTGTATGTATATGTATGTGTGTGTATGTATGTATGTGTAAATATATATATATATATACACACACACACACACACACACACAAATGTTTCAAACAGTTGTCCATGGACCCGGGGGGTGTTGCCAGCTTTGTACTCCTATCATGGTAGCCCAAGAACAGCTACTAGGTAGAAGACAAAGCATCTCTTCAAATATATCAGTGGCTTTGCGAGTACCGGCGCTTTTCACTGGAAAACTGAGGTGGCGGTGGTTCTGTTTCACTGTTGGAGCGCTCTCAAACGCACCTGTTTAGATAAGATGTGGGTGTGGCCCGCTTCAGGAGATGAGTTCCTGTGGCCTCTCATATTAGACTTGTCTGTGCTGAGTAATCTGTTCACATCCCCATCACGGACACGTGAGCACAGGAAATGGAGAGTTGGGGGAGGATGCCCAGTTGTCCCATGGTGCCACTGAAAGAGAACAAAACAACAAAAGACTCACTTGAAATGAATCTACTGAAGAGAATCATAAAGGCAAGACGAAGAGTTAAAGTGAGCCCTCCGGGTCTTCTGTCTGGGATGTGCAAAGATCTATTATTTCTGAGTATGTTCTGCAGAGCAAAACGGTTTTGGAAAAAAAAAAACCTTTGTAAAAAAAGTAGAAAATGTACATTTGGTCTGTTGTTGCTGAATTTAGCAGATTTAATAAGGAGAAGCCAGCCCCGGACGCGCAGAGTAATCTGCTGTCCTTTCCGTGGACGTCTGAGAGCTCCTGGCTGTAAACGGAGGGTCCCGGCTCAGACCCGGCCCCACAGACCACTGCACACTCTGGCACATGTCTGCTGAGTGGCTCCCCTCAGTCAGTCCGCTTCAGGAGATAGACGCTGGTCCGTGTGGGGAAAAAAACAAAAAAAAACAAAAAAAACAACCATTCCACTTCCAACCTGTAGGAAACATTCAGATGAAATATCTCGTCTCTGACTGTAGCTGTTCATGCATCTTGCACATCCCCGTTTTCACAAAAAAAGCTTTGGTCGTTTAATGGCGGTCAGAAGTAACAGAAAAGCGTAACGACGTTGACGAAAGCATAAACCTATAATTTCTGATCAGCCTTTTCATTCCAATGCAGTTCTCAGCTAATGAAGAATTCCAATGCTTAACTTATCTTAGCTTCTTTGCCAAGTTTTACTCTTCCTGTGTGTAATGGATGTGGTGATCTGCTGCTCAAGCTCTTGCTAGTGGCTACCGTGAGCCTACCGTGACCTGTTGATGTAGCACCGCTGCATGTAAACCTGCATCCAGAGGCAGAGCTGTCAGAACCAATTCTGGAAAGAAAGACAAAATCTTCAAAAAGCCTTTGCGTCAGATGAATTGGTCTGTGTCTGGAAAGTCTCTGTGTTCTTACAGTGGTTCCAAACGTGGGGAATGTGCGGATACGCCTTTTTGCTGGGAGTTGGATGAGTTTGGTGTCAATCCAACAGGCAAAAAGGTGTGAAGTGTCAATCCAAAACTGCTTTTCTTTCTTTTTCTTTCTTACTTGACACTTGCTTTGGTCGCTGGCTGGCTTGTTGAGTTCAGACAGCTCTGTTTTTTGGTTTGTAGAGAGGCTGATATGTTGTGTGTGATGCTATTTGAAGGAGGTTTTACGGCCTCGTCCTTTTGTAAATGCAGTGGGATTGTGGCGGACTAGGATGCCCCAAAGGAGAAATCCTCTCTTTCAGGAAATCTTACTGATGTCTCCCTTTGACGTGCGCCCCCTTAGAAAGGTCCTATTATTATTTTTTCTTCTCTTCAAGCAGTTCTCTCCGTCAAAGCGCCCGAGGCGCAGGCTTCGGGCCAGGAGAGAGGCGCTTCGTTTTCTAGTTGAATTTGGCGTGGCTAATGAAGATGCCAGAGTGTTAAATGTTCTAGCTGAAGCCAAAAAAATGGAGACATTTGTCCGTACAATCTGGTTTATCTGGAAGTCAGCCTCTTCGTTGGTCAAACGCTGACCAACATGTGAACATGAGAACAGTCGTCTCAGGATCACGCTCTGACATCCAGTCCATGTAAATTCAAACCTTTTACTTTCCTTGGTTTTTACTCAAGGAAGGCGATGAACGAGGTCCGGATGATATGCATTCTGTTTTATTTTCTAACAATCAGTAGTAAAGTATGTGGAGAGAAAAAAAAAGACAAAACAAATTCTAAAACACAGCTTCTGCTGTTTTATGCAAGTTTTGGAAGAAAAATCCCCTTTTGCCATTTGCAGGTCCCAAGCAATCCCTGTGCCGCTGTAGTCGGGTGGTTTAATGGGCCGACAGGCAGGCTGCAACTGTCTGTGGGTCAGTCCCCTCAACCCTGAGTCCCTCTGTCCTCTATCGGCTGCCTGTGAATCACATCTGAGGGCTTCAGACTGCACAACAAGCTCCCACAGGAGAGCTCATGATGTTTCGCCACTATGGTCTCACTCTTCACACAGCAAACTGTTTAACAATATACCTGGATGTCATTATTGTTTGCGATATAATAAAAGAAGAAAATCAGTTTCCACGGGTCCTTTATTTTTGTTTCAATCACCCTGAAGGTGTCGGCTAATTTAGTCAGTCAATCAGAATATTCTACAGTCAAATACTGGATGGTGTTAAATTACATGATTGAAGGACTTCCCTTAAGAAAGCAGCATTCCTGATGTACAAAGTTGGAAAAAACATTGCCATTGACCCAAGTAACTTTCTGCTCTAATGGAGAATTGCTTGTTGACACTGGGCCGCCCGCCCGGATCACACGGTGTGCTCAATGCTGTAAGATGTTAAAAACTAACCTGAAGTTATTTCAGAGCTCCTGCAGCCTTTTTTTTTTTTTTTTTCTGGTGCATGGCAAGGAGAATGTTGCACAACACATCTGAGACAATGTTCTGGCAACATAAGAAGTAAAGGTTGAACTTTTGGATGACAATACCTATCTGAAACACAGTGAGAGGAATAGGATGATTTCAGAGCAATGTGAATCTTTGCACAGGTTAGATTGTACCCAAAGTAATAGATTGAGTAAATGATTCGAGGATGGAATGTCGGAACAGAAAAAAAAAGTTTGGGAAGACCAGCTAGAAAGAAGCTTCAGCCAAGCTGAGATTTGTACAGGAGAGATCAATGGGAAGGTCCCAGAAATGCTGATTTACAATTTGATTTAGATGAAGCACCTAAAATTGAAAAATTATGGGATACATCTGATATAGGCTGCCTTCTCTAAAAGAGGATCCAATCACTTTCATCCCAGCAGGCACTGTGAGAGATTAGGCTGATTTATGTATTAATTAAAAACATATTCAATTTCTTGGGGTCGTAGTTCAGAAACATTTATATTAAAAACTAAGAAAATGTGTTAAAGGTTAAATTATTCTATGGCAACAAAATACAAGCCAGAAATCAGTTTGAAAAAAATGTTAGTATTTGAATTCTAACGAATACGAAAAAGAACTAAAACAAAACAAAACACAGTGAACGTTTGCTGACGTCAACGCGCACAAGCGTAGAGCGATTACGTCGAAGACGTTCAGGAAGTGAGCTGCAGAAAGTTAAAAACAAAAACGTTTCAACAACGTGAGCTGTGTGTTGACTTATTTTCACTCTATTGCACCTTACAAAAAGTCCGCGACTCTCAGGAACAGTCTGTTTTTCACCACAAGATACACCGGCTGTGACGGTAAGGGGCTTCAGGTTCTGGATAAATATTACGAGCTGCTGGTGTCAGTTTGGTCTGAAATGGGAAAATGTGCTTCCCCTTCACCTCACAGTGACTGAACTATGGCAGTTAATTGAATGCTCTCTGTGTCTGTGTCAGTTGTAGGTGCTTTGAAAAGTTTCCTGAGGATGTTTAATGTTTTCTGACGTTAAATATTTCAGACAAAACCCACCCCAACAGCAACCGTTAGTTTGGCAACTCTGCGCGTGCACTCTTCATCTCTGATAAACTGCAGGTTATTTTGTTTTGTTTTGTTTTTTTCATTCCGGTCCTGACTCGTGCTCTCCTGGTTTGTTTTCTGAAATGAGGGCTGTCACCATGGCTCTTAATAAGTCCATGCATCCTCGGAACCGGTACAAGGACAAACCTCCGGACTTTGCATACCTGGCTTCCAAGTACCCAGACTTCCAGCAGCACGTGCACACCAGCCTCACAGGGAGGCCTGTGTAAGTACCTGAAATATAGTCTGTCTGTTTATTCTAGCCTATTGGGTGTTTGTGAGACTTTACTACAAAAAAAGTTTCTAAAAAATCCCATTGAAACCTCAGTTTATCACATTTTGATGCGACAACCAGCTCTGCATCTTTGTCCACCCCACAACTTGTTCACCATTCACAGATCCACACAGATATAGCCGATAGGAATTGAATTTCCATTTCTCAAATGTGCTCCTATTTGTTCAACAAAAGAAAAAGGACAACAAAGACTGTCAGAATGATGGACTTCTGTCCTCCTCCTGTGTTTGCTTGTCTCAAACCACTTGTTACCGTCAGTTTTATGCAGATGAATGCAGACATCCACTGTGAACACATGGGTGCGGGCTGGTCTTTTGTGGCTGTGAAGGGGCCAGTCAATCATCTGACTGTGGGCCCAGCTTGCATGTGTGGGCATGCCGAAAAACCCCACTTGATGCCCTGTTGTGACAGGTGTTGATTAACACTCCGGCGTTGGTGTGCCTGTCTGTGGTTCCCCCTCAGACGGACAGATGATGAACAAAGAGCTGGCAGTGTTTGGGTTTGACTGTCAGCATGAAAACTGAAGTCAGAGGGTGAGTCGACGTGATGTCTCGGCTTGGATGTGAATGTGACATTCTGTGGCGACTGGAAAATGCGAGCAGACGCACAAACAGTCACAGCTGGAGGTCACTGCACCAAACCTGATGGAATCAGTTGATCTGAATGATTCCATCTGCCAGATCCGGACTGTTTTCAGCTGAATTGGCTTATTTTACAATCTCCTTTAGTATCCTTTAGATACAGTCTTTACTGGTAAGATATCAAACAAATAAACCTTTAAAGCTCTCAGATGTTTCTGTAGCTGCTGCTGGACAAAATCTAGATGCTATATATGATCTTTTTAAACTTTTTTTTTTTACAGAGGGAATGAGAATAAAATGCAGTTTTTATGCACCACATTATGGCTCTTAGAAAATAGAAATAAAATTAATTTGAATAGAAAGAGGAATCTTACTTGTTGTTCTGGTTATGTAAAAAAAACCTTAAAACGGTTTTCCTGCCTTACCTGTAAATTCAACCAAACTAATCAAAGATCCACAAAAACTCTGGCTGGAGCTGATCCGCTTTGCTGGATTTGCGTTACTTTTGGGGCGGGTGGTTCGTGCTCTGGTTCTCCATCTGCAGGAATGTGGCTCCTCAGCCTGAAGCTCCTTCAGTGGAGGGATTAGAGTAGTTTTGTATTTTTCAGGAATTCATCTATTGGCTGTTAAAGAGTTGAAGCTGCGCATTGGCGGATGAGCGTAATCTCAGGGAGACACTCTGAGGAGATCCGTCTCCCTTCATTTCAGGGCCCTCGGTGGAGTGGACTGATAGCAGAAACATGGTGGATTTGGTTTGAAGAGAGGAACAGATAAAGCCCAAAACAGTCAGAATGTGTGTTTTTCTTTGAGTTTAGATCAGGCAGATGGGAGGGGGTGGGGGTTTGAAGGAAGTAGTTATTAAAAATGCATCACCCTGGTTGACATTTAATCTAGACATGTTCAATTTTCACACCACTTTTGTTCAAGGATCTATTATGAAGCATATTGACGGCAACGGAGAAAAAACTGTTATAATTAAGACCCCTGATGGGTTTAAATTGATAAATGAAGCCCTACAGCGATGTGCAGCACAGCCCTTAATACTCTTTTTTTTTTTTTTTTTTTCCTCTTTAAACCTGTGACTTATCAGAAAAATGAGATGGCTGCCTCACGCTGCAGGGCCCTGTGCTTCATATCAGGACACACAGGTAGAGCTTCATTTACTTTAGGGATTTCCAGACCTTACTGCTTCAGAGATAGTTTTATGGGTAAAAAAACAGGACTACATACGACCTGTTTTAGTCCACATATGTAGCTGAATAACACACAAGCTGTTTAACCTGTCAAGACGAAGGCTTGTAAAGAATCGGTCTGATGAGCATTTCATTCAAATTCCAGCTATTTTTCAATTATTTTCTCATAAATAATGTAGTCCCTCCTCCCCTCAACTAATTGATTTTCGCCTGAAACACTTCAAAATCACCTGCACCACCTTTAAAACTATGTGCCCCCCCCAAATCCATCTTTTCTTTGGTTTTATGTCTCAAAAATTCATTTTTAACTGCAGTTTTTAGAAAATCACTTTGCATCATGTCTAGATATGGGGGCTCCTCTCGAAGCCTCTCAGAACCTTTAGCCACACCACTTCCCACCTGTCCGGCTGCACCCATCTGAACACAGGCTGCCTTCTTCCGGCTCCTTCGTGCTACACACTATCTCGCCTCCGCACGAGTTTCCCGCCAGCGTTTGTCCCACTCGGCGTCCCGTCAGCGTTAATGGCGTAAGCACGCTGCGGCGGACCCACATGGAGGCAGAGGCGTAAACCGCGGGCACGCTCACGCCTCCTCAGCCATCAGCCATTGCTCCAGCGTGGCCGGATTTGCGTGCCTCCCTCATCTGTTCAGTAGGTGGGGTTGCCATGGAGAGGTGGCATTGGCAGTGCTGCTGATGGGAGAGATCGGTCTGCACACACATAAAGGGCTAAAAATAGAGCACGGGCCTGAGCCACCTCCCTCTCTGAATATTGATCCTTATCTAATGATGCCTCTGAGGAGAAATGAAAGGGGGCAGAGTATGTGAGCGGGACGGATGAGAGGGGCCACCTTTTATTTTTTGGCGAGTGTCAGAGGGTTGTGCTGATTTATCACTTCTCCTCTCTTTAGTTCCATGCCTCCCGACAGTTCAGGACGTTTTTAAAGTGCAAATTTCTATTAGCTGATTTGCTCTTGATTGTGAGGTGTTGGTTTTCCTGTGAGAGGTCAGCAGTTGAAACCGGACCACAGAGTTCCTACATGTTCACCAGAGAAGATAGACAGGATTTGATGTAGGACTGGAGAGATAAACGACTTCCCCTTTGTCGTTATCACTCCTGCAGTGAAGACTCCCTCTTAGCAGTGAGGCAGCTCTGTTGCCTGTTATGCTCTTAGTCTTGATTAAAAATTGAAAATGCGATAAACCAAGTTAAGATGTTTAAAAAGAACATTTTATGGCATTGTTTGGAGGTCTGACAGGATGTTCTGTGGTCACTCACACTGTGCCAAAGCACAAAGCTTTTGCTGACGTCAGCTCGTGTTTGTGTGTGCTCGTGCTTTTTTATCTCGTTTTAAATTCTTTTCACCAACAATCAAGAATAAAATCTGTGTTCCCCTCACTTTTTGTGCCTGCTGATAACGTGGGGCAGTATAGAGAATACATTTTTGGCAGCTTTACAGCCGCAGAGCGCTCTTTCTTTTTCTAATGTTGAGCTAAAAATAATGGAATTTCTACCACAACGGTAAGATGATGTTTGAGATGTTTTGAGCGGGGTACAGTCAGCTATCAACATGAGGCAAATAAAGTTCAAACGGCTACAAATGCATTTATTTCTTATGAAAAAATGTTTCCCATGCTTGGGCGGAACTGATCTGGGCTGGGATGGCGTTCGCCTGCTGGAACACCAACCCTAAGTGGCGCGAGACACCCCATCACCAAGATGTGTCTAATTGCTTCTGCCAAGGTGCGAAAGCGCTCTGCAAAGCTTTAATTACACCCAGCTCGCCCACTCGTGTGCGACAGCGGAAACCGTTAAACGTGTGCAGGAGACCCGACCACTGGGACTGAGATCTGGGAACAAAAAGTGGGAGGTCTGCGCGGTGTTCAGTACATGAAATTCTTTACCACGAGGAGAGGATTTTGAATTGATGGGCTGCTTATCTTCGGCTGTCCCCGGTGTGTCTAATATGCAGTAATGAGGCGGGGTGCAGAGAGCTGCAGCGGGTTAATGAAGTGCTGTATTAAGAGCCGTTTGGCGAATTGCTGTCAGGTGGCCTCTGTATCGAAACAAGCAGATCGGCAGGACCAGAGAGTAAATTCTTTCTACAAGAGGGATTCACGCTCCGTTTAACTCTGTCTTCTGTTACTGTAGCTTTGGTTTCAGTTAGTAATAACGGCGCCAAATTCACTAAATAAAATTCTGAGAGAACTGGAACTCTCTGAATTTTAAACAATTGTAATAGAAGGTCAGGTGCACTCTGACATCTTTAACCCAACATATTTAATATGATACAACGTGCCTTTAAAAAAAAGAAAGGCGCCATATGGAAAAATATACAACAAAATAGTTAAAAGAATTTTAAAAATTTTTCCTTTTGCCACGAGTGAGTGTTAAACCTGGAACTAGTTTAGTTTAATTGTATTTGTTGTGTGCTGTGGTTTGTTTAGTCTGGTTCTGCTCCATCAGCTCCCTTTGTTTCTTCTTTCAGTGTGAATTTCAAAGAGCCGGAGGCGGTGCGAGCGCTGACCTGCACCCTGTTAAAGGAGGACTTTGGACTGACCATCGAGATCCCCCTGGAGCGCCTCATTCCCACCGTCCCCCTGCGCCTCAACTACATCCACTGGGTGGAGGACCTGATAGATGGCCAGAAGCAGCCGCGCAGGGGCATCGACATCGGTACCCCCCCCCCGCTGCTCCCGTGTCTGTCACCTGACACTGCCACACTGCTGTCCTCTGAAATTCATGTCTTTTCAACTGGCTCTTTTTTGCTTTTTGTTGGGAATTTTTATTATTAATAACATTGTTATTGGCAGAATAGCCAGCACTTATTTTTCTTTTTCTTTTTGACTGAAGTCCCATTTTAACAGTTTCTGTCAACGTTACCGTTTTTCATTTATTCTCTGACCGCTGTTCATCCAAAATTAAAAGATGGCTTCCCAGGCTTCTTCTGGTACGCCGCGGCAGATTTTTCGTGGAATGGCTCTCAATAAGCTGAGTTTCATACGCGGAGTTCGTGTTTTCTTTTGAACACTGCAACAAAAACAGCAGCAGGACACCCTCCTGCCTTTAAAAGGAAGAGTTCTGCCAGTACATAGACCAAGTCAAAAGCTGCTCTTGTTCTCAGTGTTTTTAGTCCGTGATTCAAGCAGATGAGCACAGTCATCTCCAGGTTCTGACATCTAAGTGGCATGTTTTGTGATGTCGCTGCAGATGTGTGTCAGTGTTATGTCTGCTGGCTGATGGATCACCACTGGCTGTCCCTCCTCTAACCGATCTCTGACCTCTGACTGAATTAAGCAGCTTGTTACATTTTGCTGATTCAATAATCGGTGCTGGGACCGGCTCTTTAGAGCCAGATAATCATTTGCAGAGACATCAAGTCATGTTTTTTTATTTTTTATTTTAGAGAGCCTTTTCTTACCTTAATTGACTTAATTTACAGCAATGGAGCACATTTCCATAACAGCCACAATCAATCTTAATGATACATTCACCGCTGTCAGCTGCTAGAAATGTGCACGTGCCTCTTGTTTCTTCAGGCACCGGAGCGTCTTGTATCTACCCCTTGCTGGGAGCGACAATGAATGGCTGGTACTTCCTCGCCACAGAAGTGGATGACATCTGCTATGACTATGCCAAAAAGAACGTGGAGCAGAACAAACTGTCTGACCTGGTTAAAGGTGAGTGTGGAGCACTCATGTTAAATTAAACACATTTTAAGATGACAGAAAAATACTTTTAAGATGCACTCCCTTCAGGTTAGTTGATCTCTCTTTTGAAGAATGACTATTTTGGGGCATATTAATGGGGAATCTGTAAAAAATCAGATGATTAAGTGCAGAGTGCTGTTGGCACCATTTGTTAAATGTCACCGTCTCCCAGACTTAAAGCCAAATCTCTGACTTTAATCAAGTTAGTGTTTCCTCAAAGAACTTAAAAATCTACTTATCTTTTAAAATCCATTTTGTCCAAAGAAGAATAATATTTTATCTCTCTCAGTCTCTCAAACATTGTCACATGATCCATATCCAGGTGCAGCTTACTGTTTGTGGATGGGATTTTATCAGGTTTCAAATGAAAAGGCCCAAATCTTGTTTGATTTCTGCTTCTAATCAGGCTATTGACTGATCATCACAGCAATGACACCCAGCTGTTAGCCTGATGTGCTGACAGAAGGCTTTTGCACCTGGATCCATCCTCTCTGTCCCATTACAGAGAGGATCAGCCCAGATGTTCTGCATAATTTACAGCTGGGATTGCATCTTCAGCACAGAATCTCAGCTGGTTTTAAGTGGATGTGTGAAAATCAATTGTGGGGAAAAACACAACTTTTCTCTTAAGAACATCTGCCCTGTGTGAAAACGGCTTTTATCCAGAAACCCCATGTTGTATTGCCAGTAATGCAGTTCACTGCTGCGTTTCCTCACACCTCTTAGTGTAGCTGCCAGGTGTCTTCATTGTGAAATACAGCTTACAAATACTAGCCTTTCCTCCAACCTCTCTCTCCAACTCTCTGCAGTTGTTAAGGTCCCACAGAAGACTTTACTGATGGACGCCTTAAAAAAAGAACCAGAGATAGTGTACGACTTCTGCATGTGCAACCCTCCTTTTTTTGCCAATCAGCTAGAAGCAAAGGTAAAAAACATGTCCCATTCCTCAACATTAGAAAGGCTTCCCCCCCCCCCTGTCTGAGTGTTTCATCATTAAAGATTTGCCTCCCTGAGAGTAAACAGAATGAAACCTGTTTACGTGGCACTAATAGGCCTTTAATAGGATTCCACGCTGATCTCTGTCTGTCCTGTTGTGCTGTCCAGGGGGTAAACTCCAGAAACTCACGGCGACCTCCTCCCAGTTCAGTGAACACGGGCGGGGTGACGGAGATCATGGCAGAAGGCGGAGAACTGGAGTTTGTAAAGAGAATCATTCACGACAGCCTCCAGCTCAAGAAATCTCTTCGGTGAAGCAAAAACCAGATATGATTTCATTTTCCCCAAGTTAGCTGTGTGTATTTTAGGTGTGTGTAAAAGCACATCTACACGTTTTGATCAGTCATCCGGCCCTCACTAAACGGGAAGATGGATGAACAAGGGTTCTGCAGTTTTGATGATTTCGGAGAGGGTTTTGATGGCTGCTGAGTGCTCCAGTCAAGGGGAGATATCAAGAGCTGAAATGGGGCGATGGATTGCTGCCTACCGATGGAGTCGTCACCCACAGTTACAGCAGTGATTTTGGCACACGCCCACTCTGTGCGGCATCCGGGAGCCCATGGGGAACAGCTGTGTTAGGGTGCATGGGTGGGTGGTGGTGGGGGGGGTCTCTGGCGGCCGTCACTTCACCCTCCCCCATTAGCAGGGCTGTCACCGGGGCAGCCGAGTGAAACCCAGGAGGAGTGGAGCTATTAAAACTGATTAGATGTGCCACACCTGCTTGGCCTCCAACACAGAGTGCAGTCTGCCTGTCTGTGTGTGTGCGTTTGAGTGTTTTCAAATTGCCTATACGGAAAGGCAAGCATCCTGAGAGGGGCTAATGCTAGCACCTGCCTATTCCCCAGGCCCCTGTATAACACACATAAAGCAAGCAGAGAGAGTCAGAGCAAATCCAGACTCTTTTAACAAGTCTGAAGCTTTGGCCAAGTCAACTTGAGCCAACTGTCACTCCCAGAAACATGCTGGGACACCAGAGCTACCAGGTGTCCATGGAAACACTGCCAGCCTCTGCGATTAGTCCAATGAGGAAGCCCGTCACCCCACCCTACTCCCAGTTCCTCTCTTTCCACTGAGGGGGTGATTACTGTCAGACAGGGGCGAGTATAATATCCAGACAAATGCTTAAAACTGCAGTTGGAGTTCCTAATTCATCAGGCCATTGATATGAAAATTACCATCTATGGCACTAAGGTGGTAATCACGAGTCAGTGCTTCTGAAGTGGAAGAGGGATGAATCTGAAAGCTGATGCAGCTGCACTCTTTGATTCTCATAAGAGCTGCTGCTGCTGCCTTGCTCGGTACTCATCTGGTAACCCCACTGTGATAAAATTTGGGAAACATCTGTGATTATTAGAGCAGACCAATATTTCATTGTGTCAGCTAAGGGTCGACAATGTGGCCCTGGGTGCTCCTTCACTCTCCTAGCTCCACTACACCGTCCAGTAGCAACTAGCCAGTCAAAATTTAAATGGCTTGCTTTGTTTGTACAGAGGCACAATATTCAGAGCATTTTTAACCAGGAAAAGATTAACTCATAATTACTCTGCTAAATGAAATGCCCTGAATTTAATAGACTTCCCATGTACACTATGAGATAGTAATAATATGAGTTTATTACTGTATTTCTTTAAGGTCTGTCATTAACTGAGTTCTTTGAAAAAAGCATTCAGTTTATTATTATTATTTGAATTATTATTCAAAATAGTATTTCAAATACTTCATAAACAGATACAATACATATGTGCACAGTACAGATTTAAGCTGCTTAACTATTAACTTAACTCCAGCCTCTTTGTTGAATTTTAATGTCTTAATCGACAGATGTATAATTTAGACGGGTTTAGTTTGGAGCCATGCTGTTATAATCCCAGCAAGATGTTTATCATTGTCTGGCTGAGAAGAGTAGGGCTTTCCCTGAAAAAAAGTAATCTGAACGACCAAATATCTGGCTCCTAAAGCTTTGAAATCTTTCAAGGAGGAAGCTTCCGCTAACAACACAGTAGGAATTGTCAAACAATGAGGTACTGAGAATTGAGTTTTTCCCAGTTTGAGTCCAGAGGCCCAGACACCAGCCTTCCCGCTACCCTACTAGGATTAAGTGGATGTTCACAATGGATGAATGGGTGTAACTTTAGACACGCGTTCAGAAACATGTCCCCTTTAACAACATTCATGCTCTCACTGAAGTGGCTATTGAACTGAGGAATGGAGATCTCTTTTCTTTAGCCTACAGTGTTCAGCATAACCAGCCGTTCTGCCCGCCTTGAACTTTCTTAAATTTTTGTCTGCACCAGCTGAGCTCTCCTGCCCACCGATCAGCACCAGGACAGCAGCAGACAGCAGACTTTATTGATCCGACCTTGACCACGGGGCGACTTCAGAGCAGCTTTTCTTGGCCCGCAGGACTGTGCACACCCGGATGTTTTTCTATTTCTCGTGGTTTCTGTTTACCTTTGAGCCGTTCCCCAAGGCCCACCTCTACTTGTTTGATCTCGGCTTTGTAGTTCAGCTCTGGGCTGTGAGCCCCTCACACACACACACACACACACACACACACACACACACACAGTCGATTGATATGGACTCTTCTTTCTGCAGGTGGTACAGTTGCATGTTGGGGAAGAAATGCAGCTTGGCACCTTTGAAAGAGGAGCTGAGGAAGCAAGGGGTGAGCATCCACTGAGACCCACAACAAAGACGAAACACACAAGTATCCACACCGACTCTGCCTCAGTTCATTCCCCGAGGGACTAGCAGCTGAGTACAGACGATAACGTTCTTTTTTTCAAATAAACTCTGCACCCATCTCAGACCATCACTATGAAAGGAGCAGAGCAGCCTCCTCACTAGCCAGCAAAGCAGTTTCACAAACAAACCGTTTTTAGCTAGCACTGCATGACTAAGTCACATGGCACTCTGTGGCTAACATGCATTAGCATCTTTGGCCTAACTAATAGCCCGGCACATGATTCCCGACTGCTTTGGGGCCTCTGGTCCTGTGCCAGTCTCTTCCCTCACATGTTCCAAGCAAAGACCAGAGCGCCTCAGCCCCTTCACCCTGCACCTGCCAGCCCTCAGACCTCCATAAGTTAGAGGCTGCCGTCGCTGCTCATCAGAATGAGTGCAGTCTTGGCTAACATCCAGAGAGGAGACTGATTCCTCATTTTAATGTGTGTCTCTGGTTAATATGCTAATGCTTTTATCGTCCATTACTCTATTTTCTCCTCAGCATGTCCTCTGTTTTTTCTGTATTGTTAATTTAACAGTGAGTCACATCCCTCAAAATTATAGCTATCTGACCCCATAAATGGTCTTAATTTACCAACAGAAAACTAGTTTAATCTTGTTTCCAAAGATGTTCTGTTTCATTGGACCAGGAATGGAGACGTACGCCAGCCAAATCTAGAGTTGAATCAAAGGAATATTACTAAGTGGAAACAGATCGCTGTAAAAAACAGCCCAGTTTACGACAATGTAGAAATGGTGCACTTAAAAAAAAAGAAAAAAAAAAGATTGAGTTTGAGATTGAGCGCCAAACAAAACTGGTTGAAAAAAAGAGGACTAATCTGTAATTACTTCCCATTTATAGAAGTCTTCCTGAGTGAGACGGTCAGAGATTTTTATTCATCTGACAGTTAGCGACCAGCTTGATGTCACGTCTTGTGTTGTCTGACTGTGATTAATTAGGATTGACTTATATGTAGCTTTAAGCAGTAATGTAAGTTCAGATAAATCAATAGACACACTATATGATATGGCAGAATTCTAATAAAATGACATGAGCAGTTCCCTCTGGATGGAAACAAGCTAAAATCACACAAGCAGCGACAGTATTGGGAAACTATTTGCAACCTGCCAATAATGAGAAAGAAGGCAGGCCAGCCTTGTTACAAGATTGAAATATTTCCATATTAGGCATGCAGATTTCCTGCTAAGCGTTTTTTTCACGGCTCATCCCTCTTTTTTGACATACTGGCAGCCTCACAACCTTCAGCGTTATAAATCTAAATGTCGTGGTGTGATGTGTGCAGTGAGCTGTTGGTCACTGGTTTCTGTTTTGCTCAGGTGCCTAAAGTGACCCACACAGAGTTCTGCCAGGGGAGGACCATGAGGTGGGCGCTGGCCTGGAGTTTCTATGACGACGTGACCGTACCTGTAAGTTTGTGTGGCTCTGTTTTCCAGCTTTATATTGTTGGCGCTCTATAGCTAAATTAGGACCCTTTTGGGGGTATTAACCATCTTTCGTGGGCACACATCCACCGACCCTCTCAATAATGCACCACCTCTGTCCCGCTTCATCCTCTTGCTCATCCTTTCTCATTGGTTCATCTTTCCCTCCAGCCCTGTTCCATTATATGCACTTACTCCTGCCTCTGGGGAGATGTTTATGGGATTTCTAGCATGCTGTAGCCAGGCAACAGTTGCCAGGGCAAGACTGTGCCTGCACGGTGTCACAGACCTGTCTGTACGGGAAGAGTCGTGAATAAATATAAATAAGTGTCACAGAGAGGGGAAAGAAATGAAAGTGCACTGCTGTAAGATGGCACAATGATAGGGTAGAGGAGACGATAACTGAGATTCCTTTCATTTTTTAGCTTTACTACACAAGTGCAGCTAAGCAGAAGAATTGGCCTACATTTACCAACTCTCTTCCTCGGTACTCACACAGGCCCACAAACACTGATGCTCAGGAGCCCCCCCCCTCCCCATCATGTTTGTGGGTCTGTGTTTTTGTGTGTGTCGTTTCATGACAGAAATTTCTGTATGAATTCTGTTTGCATGTGGTGAGTGATGTCTGTGCATGTCATTTTCATCAATGTTACATAAAACTAAAGGTATGTGGCAGATGAAAAGATGTGACCCACTTCAATATCTTATGACTACATGAAATATTGGTCTGGTAACTGACATCACTAATAAATATCATTTGTAATAACCAGAAATATTAGCAAACCAGTCTAGACATCCCGACTCAAAAAGTATAACAAAACTGCTTCAGTTTTAAAACGCACTTTCTTAATTGGATAATTTTTTTCAGATGGTGATATGATGTGATACAGAAATACTGGTTCAATTTCTCCATTAGTTAGACTTACTTTAAAGAATCTTTCCTGCATGACAAGCTTTTGTTGTTTGTTTTGCTTAGATTTAAAACATGGTTTGAGAGGCACCTCCATGACTTCCACAGTCTCAATTCTAAAACAAGCTGGAGTGCTTTTTAAACTGTAAAAAAAAGAATACGATGATTTACAGATCTCTTAAACCAGCATGTGATTCACAATAGAAAGTGTATGAATTGTTGAAAGCAAGATATTTAGTGGTTTGAAATGGAAAAATAACAGCTCATTGAATTTGTCAGATTTCCAAATCATTGTTTGTTTTATTAGGGCATTTCCAGAAAAAATGTGGGTTAAAAAAAGGGAAAGAAAAAACATCTATGAATAGCTAAACCATAATTTTGACATGTGTTGGTAAGACTGGAGCCCTCCTTTTTTTCATGGCAATAGGCGAACAGCGCTGTGCATCACTGCCACCCAGTGATGGTAGCAGCGCCTTACCGCCAGCTGCTGGACACCCAAACATGAACCATTTGAATTCCTGTTGGATAAGGATTAATGAAAGCAGACGCCCCCCGTTGCCAAGAGGCTCTGAAAATTCGCCTGTGCAGTTAAACTATGTCACCACTTCCAAACATCCTCCCTAAGGCCTCGCCTCCGGACGCGGTCAAACATTTGTTATCCTGAGAAACAACGCGGGAGTACAAAATCTGTAAAAAAAAAAAAGCAAGTTGCATGCACAAACAGACACACTAAACAGGGACTGAATGAAAGCACTGGCTGGTCATACACACTGCTGTGTTTATCGCTGCCCCGAGGCGCACTGCTGGTCGTACCGCTCTGTGGCAGGAGGGGCGATCAATGGTGGCCATGCAGAAATCTGAGACCCCAGGGAAAAAGAGGGGTTTGGCTTATCAGAAAATGATTTAGAATGTTCAATAAAAGGCTGTATTTTCAGCATATTTGCTTTGGCATTGTGTGTGTAGTTGGAGTGCATGTGAACTCAGACGATAAAGGTGGATGAGATCTGGACAGAGGAGCTCTTGTTGGACTTTTGACAGTGTCTGGTTTTTCAAATGGGGTCAGACATTTACTACGAGGGTTTCCTGTCCTCATAATGTGCCTGTGCGAGGTGAGAGCCGGCAAGTGGGATTAATAATGGAGTGGAGAGCCCAGCAGAGTCGCGGCAGCTCGAGCGCTGTGTGCGAGGAGCACGTGGAAAACTGCACACGAGGTTTTTCGGGCTTTGTGTGGAAGTCCGCCTGTGTGTTTACGTACCTTTCGCATTAGTGGGAGAATTTCTGTCACCGAATTGCAGTGCAGGTTTTAATCTTGATGGAGTTTATTGATTTCCTTTCCTTGCTGGATGAACTGCGGGGCTTTCAGAGCATGGATGGAAGGGAGTGGGGGGGGGTCTCTGAGACATCCGAGACAAATGATAAGACATAAAAGCTCCAACAAGCAGCCAGACAAAGCAGCATCCATTGTCAACCTATTAATTAAAAGTGTCCATCTCCCCTAAAGAGGAATCTACCAATAGACCTGGTTTGACAAAAAATCTATGTGACTCAGATTAAAGTCTTTTTCCAGAAGTGAACTCTTAATTATTGACAGTATTACTAACTAATAACAGCGCATCTGTGCACACATTAGTTTAGTTGCTTCATTTCATGTCGCTTCCTCAGGAGAAACGTAGACGTAATCTGAAAAAGTTCAATCCAGACCGGTGCAGCGGTGTGAAGGTCAGCCTGCTCCCCACTGCGGTTTGTAGGTCAGTCGGCCATGCTGTCTGCACGGTCACCGCTGCTGCAGACCCCCGCTGCCCCCCCCCCAGCCACAGCCTGCTGCTGCAGTGCTCCCACTGCAGAGCCTCTGTATTTGGGTGCGCATCATGACCTCCACCTGCATCACAGCCTGAATCGAGAGGAGATTAGGAAGAGGCGTGTTTTCTTATTTGCATTCCTAGAGTGCTCCCTGGTGGTGGGCAACAAGCCGCCAGTCCTTCGATACATTTGCTGTATTAGCATGTTTACGCTTGACTATTAAAAATTTGCCATAAAAGAGAAACTATTCCAATGTGTACGGACACCCCACTGCCAGTTGTAGCTATTTTAGAGGCCTGCCTTCACTGTGGAGCAGGACATTTAGGTTTGATTCCTCTATAAATTTGAAGGTTTAACATAAGCTTTTGCTCTCAGGTTAAGAATAAAGTGTAGTTCCACTGATTCTTGTTAAAAGTAATCTTTTTATCAGTTTCCTCAATTGGACTGAAGTAGGTTTTCTTTGCCTGCATACTGCCCTCTGCTGGCAGTATCTGACATCTTTTCCACAAAGCAAAGAGCACCTTCTGCTGTAATCCACTTTGTTGGTTTTCGTCTAATTATACAATGATTGCCATGACTGAATCACCCGAATAATATTACTATTCTCTTAGTGCTTTCCTGCTTGAAAAAAACTCTTGACTTGTATTCAATAATGGTGTATAACCGGTTTAAAGTCATACAAATAGGATGACACCTAGCTGAAAAAGTTATGGACAGCAAACGGTTTTGAACCTTTTCTCCTGAACTTCAGTTAGGAGCCTTGATACTGCTCCTTTGCCCAAATAAAGGTGATAGTCGAGCCTTAGTTCGGTTAACCTGTGTACATAAACATGTAACTGTAAATGACACAAAAAGAGCTGACGGTAACAACAAGTGCTGGTTACATTACCATGTTTCTCACTGGGATCTGCTACTTTTTGGGGGGTCCATCCCAGCTGTTATTGAGCAGAGGCGGGGCACAGACTGGACTGGTCACCTGTGCATCCCAGGGCCACACAGAGACCAACAAACGCACACACTCACTCCTATACACAGTTTCTTTTTGTTTTGTTTCATCGTTTAACTCAACACGCATGTTTCCGGATGGCGGGAGGAAGCTGGAGTACCCAGGGAGAACAATAAACACTCGCCTCCATCAGATGTTGTTTGTTCGTCCGGTTTGAATCTTTTTTTATTCGATCATTCATTGACCGGATAGAGGACCCAGAATTAAGGGACGCTTGAGTTGGGACGGTGACATCCAGTCCACTGCTGTTCTGCTGTTTTAGAATCACCACTCTCTCTGCGTTTCTCAGTCTCCTCCCAGTAAGAAGCGCAAACTGGAAAAGTCTCAGAAGCCGCTGTCGTTCAGTCTGCCGGGAGTGGGGCTGAAGGAGCTCCAGGCCAAAGCCTCGGCTGCAGGCTGCCCCGCCGGCACGCCCGTGGACAGCGTCGCCGCCCTGCTGGAGAGGACGCTCGGCGAGCTGCGGGTGAGCGCCACGCCACGCTGCTCTCAATGCAGCCCTGTGTTACTGTGCTTTTTACTTTGTGAAGTATTTGAAGATGAAATCTTAATTGATCCCGTTTTGCAGCTCTGAATACAGCAGAACCTCTACATACATTTTTAATTCATTCCGGGACCTACTTTGTATGTTAAAATATTCACCTGTTGGTTCAGATATTCCCATAAGAATCCACTGTACTTCGTATAATTCGTTCCACAGCCGAAAAACCTACGATAAATCCTTAATAAATACTGCAGATAATTACACATGGCAATAAAACAAATGCATTATGTAATGTTATAATCAATAAAAGTGTTTTTTATTGGCAGGTAGAGGTGGAGACTGAGATACAGGATGTACCGTAAAACTTTCAAACTTTCACTACGTGAACTTTAAACTAACTTAGCTTGTTTAATTTTATTCCATTTTTGTATTTTATGTATATTTTTCTATGACTTCGACGTAATAGGAAATGTTGGAAATTTACTTTGGGTGTCGAGTCGAATATTTGATCAAATTCCACTTCGTATGTTGGAAAATTCGTCTGTTTAGGCGATCGTAAGTAGAGGCTCTGCTGTAGTTTGAAGGCCAGCACAGACGTGCCGTTGTAGGTTTGAAAACTGGAGTATTGCCCGTGCTGAGCGCCGCCCCGCTCTGGCCCCACTCTGAGGCGACTGTGTGCTGCTCTGCAGATCCTGCATAAGCGCCTGCCGTGCAGAAAGCAGGAACAGAGCCTTTTCCTCACCGCCGTTGAGAACACGTGGATCCACGGACGGCAGAAGAGACGCGAGCAGAAGCGCCAGCTACGAGAGCTTCCCAGAGCGCCTCAGTGCGCCGGGGCCGGCTCCCAACCCGGCCCGGCCCCGGCCGAGGGGCCCCCCGCCTCCCCGCACCAGGATGGGAGCACCTCACAGGAGTCGAGCCGAGAGGGAAGGAAAATTGAAGCCGGAGAAGAGATCTCTGACCAAACAGCCGGAGGCCATGTGGACATGGAGTCCTCCACGTGTGCAGAGACGTCCGCAGCCGGAGAGGCTCCCCCCAGAGAGCCCCGGAGCCCCGGGGGGGTGGAACACTTCCTGTTCAGATGCCTGCTGAACGTGATGATGGAGGAGAGTGACGTAGTGGTGGAGATGCACTGGGTGGAGGGTCAGAACAAAGACCTGATGAACCAGCTGCGCACCTATCTGAGGAACACGCTTTTAAAATCTGTTTCAAAGCCCTAAAGAGGACTGTACGCTCAGAAGAATTACTTTTAGAAATTATTTCCGTTTTTTTTTTTTTTAACTTGGAAAGCTACTTAAGATTTTAGCAATACAATCATGTCATTTGATTTCCTTTCTTTCAGTTATTCTAAGGATTACATGGGTTCTTTGTTCTGATGGCTATCAAAACGCTTGGAATAAATGAACATTTTCTAATATTTTTCTCTTCAAGTTTATATCCTTACATCTTTTCATCATTTTCTTTCTTCTTTTTTTTATTATTTTTTTTAGATGCAGTACATTTGAATATCCACAAGAGAGTGTGAGTGTTTCCAGTGTTAATCTGAAGTGAGAAAAAATCATTTGAGTGCTCCTTTATTTGGCTTTCTGTTTAATTACATGTAGGTTTGAAAGTAGCTTTGTAATGCACAAAGTTCCTGGAGTCCGTCAGTGTTTCCTGTGCTCGGGGAGTGTTTTTGCACACTGTTATTACGCTGACATACTTTCTCAGCAGAGCTGAGTGAATAAAAGGAAGAGAACTTCCAGGGGCGTGTGTGTGTGTACGTGCACAATCCCAGTTCTCAGCAAATTTACAGTTACTGCCTGTGCAACATTTTTTATCAGTCATGCCTGGACTTTGACTCCACCTGTGTGTGTGTGTGTGGAACAAAGCTAAAGTAGGTGCTTTGTCTCTTTATTTTTTTGTTTTTTTAAGACTGGGTTTTTTCTTTCTAATGGATTCAACTTTTCTCAGTCCCAGTTCTACAAGGTTTAGGGTTTAACAAATTGGGAATTATCAGCAAGAGCTTAAAAAAAAAGAAGCCTTAACTGAGTTAAACAAAAAAGAATTGCTGTGCGTCTGCTGAAAAAAAAAAAACCTTATCACAATTAATTTGAATTTTTGTTCTTTTCTTTATAGGTGTGGTATTTGGTACTTTCCCCCTATTTGAACGCATTATAACAAAACTCATTTGGTTTAAAAACAATTACACAAAGCAACTCCAGCTGGGTGCCAATTAGATTTCAAGACAGTTTAGTGAAAACTTAAGGTGGGTTTATAAAAACAAAAACCCCCATAAAAACAAAAAAAACCCTCAAACGGTTACTGCTCCATCTGAAGGAATAGGTCACTGACACATTTGATGGGAGACCGTGGCGCCGGAGGCCGGTGGCCTCCCAGAGGCCCGCGGCCCGGCGCTTTGTGGCGGTGACGTCTGAGCAGCTCCGGCAGATGACCTGCGGAGGCTCTCCGCACACACACACAAACACACACACCGAGCCAGTCAGCCGGCTTCCGCATTTTGTTTTCGTCTTGTGAGGAGAAGGGGAGGGCCCGTGTACGTGGGCGGATACAAACGCTGCGTGATTCACAAACCGTATTTGTTCGTACTACTTTGAGCGCCATCTTGTTCGTAACTCCTCTACGTAAGCGGTTGAGGCTCCACAGAGGGGGGATCCGATTACCCTATTCTCCAGCTTTGGACTGGGAGCCTCTCCCTGTAGCACACAGGCGCCAATCGCTCCCGCGGTGCTGTTTTTTCTCCGAAAGATCCAGCCTGTCTTCCCCCACTGGACAGAAATGAGCATCGAAACGCTCCTGGAAGCTGCGAAGTATTTGGAATTGCAAGCCCAGCAACAACAGAAAGCACGTGGTAAGTTTTTTTTTTTTTTAATTCTTATAAGGAAACAGTCTGCACCGTTCGAGCTGTGCTGGGGAGGAACTAATGGCTTATTTCATTTGCTTTCCTGTTCGGTTCACGTGAACGGTTCAGAGATTAGAGCCGTGCCTCGTTTAGCCCGATATTATGTTCATGTAGTCCGAACCGGAACGTGACAGTCCGCTGGATGGACGTGTCAGATCCACGGTAGCGGTGCTCTCGTGCTGTCTTTAGGGGGGGGGGTGTTGCTGCAGTGTCGTGTGTGTGGGGGGGCTCTGCCCGGCCGGGTCGCTGCCGGGCTCCGCCCGTATCTCTCTCTGTGTGCTTTCACGAATTCGACGGACACTCCGCGAGGGGACATTTCTAACCCGGGGGGACCAAAACACGGGGAGGCTTTGGGCGGTGGCGCTAGGAATACCAGGCTCCCTTTTTTATTTTATATCATGACCCGACAGCCTCCGCCTGGGATCAAGTTACTGCTTTACGTACATCTGTTCGCCTCCGTCACTCCCGACGGGGGCAGATATTCAGCCCGGCCTGAACGGGACCGGCGCCCGCCCGCGTGCGCGTGTGTGTGTGTTTTTTGGATGGCTTCTGCCCCCCTTTTTTAGAGGGACAGATTCTAGAAATAACAGCAACAAACTCCTCATCCTCTCAGACGCTCGTGGAGGGGGGCACGAGCGTCTGTGGATGACGCAGCACCCCGAAGCCACGCCCCGCTCTAGTTAACTGAGCGGTGGCTCCGCCCACCCCACCACGTGCGAGCCGGGCAACCCCACCCAGAGATTGTTTATAAAACAGATGAGTCACTGCCGCGTTCGGCTGCTCACTTCCTGCTCAGCCAAGCGCCGCGTGCGCTCCGCCTCCACCAACCGAACCAAACTAACCCAGCCCGCGTGGGCCTAGAAATAGCGTTCATGAGATGGGCAGGAGAAAAAAAATAGTGCAGAATTTGACCATGTAATAGGGTCGCTTTAAGTGGCAGGTTTGAAAAAGCGGAAGGTTTTAGAGGAAAGCGGTTTGGTGACGTAACATAACCGACACAAATCCTCCATTCCTCTCTTAAACATATATTCTGTAATGCTTAGACGACTCTTTAGACCAGCGAGGGAGTCCAACTCCTCTCCTGTCCGTACACATGAGTAAGAGCGGGCTTGCTGGACCGGTCCCAGGCAGGACCAGGGGGGGCTCTTTGGTGTTGGCGTGAGAGTGAGTCACGCCACAGACTTGTTTTTAGGGCGGAACAACAATCTGTGCACACTCAAAAACTCCCGACACACTGAAGTCAATGGGTTCACAGAGCTCATCATGTTTGGTCTCTTGCGTGGCACAGTTTGAAGCAGAAAAGGGGGGGTGGGGGGGTTACATTGACGGGTCAGTCCGGCTGGTTTTGCTTTTGGAGCTGTTGGCCAGAACAAGTCAGAGTGAGACCTCCTGTCTGTTTGGCCCCATCCCTGCTCCTCCTCCTCCTCCTCCTCCTCCTCTCCTGCTGCATTGGGGGGGGGCAGAGTCTCCTCCTCCTCCTCAGAGCTACTGTAGAGCAGGTCACTGTGTGGTGGAAAGTAGGCCAGTGTTTCTCTGTGTGCTGCTTCCGTTATATAACGCCAGTAAAAAAATGAAAAAATAAGGAAATAAATCCGCTTTTAAACCACTCTTCTGCTTGTTGGTGTCCACATCACAGTGTAGAAAGAGCGGTGTGCCATCCTCTGAAGGCTGACCAGTCCAGCCAATGGAACATCTTGTTCTTTTTATATATTTTGCTAACTTTTAGGAGAAGTTTTTTTAAAATGTTTTATTGCAGTGTGATGTGACATAAAAACTTAAGTGGTGTAGTGGACTCTTTAACGGCACCAGTAAAATGTTCCTCGGGGCTACTTTAGAGCAGAAACTCCTTCCTCTTTCGGACGCGTCCCTTATACCATGATAAATGGGTCCAAACATTCAGGAGAGCGCATGGAGCCATATCGCTGCCTAACCCTATCTGCAGATTTGTGGTTGTAATATTTGGGTGAAGCCTTAGAGAAAAAGATTTGTGTCCCTGTGAGCTCTTTAAAAGCTGGACTCATTCCATTCTGGTCCACTTTTCTCTGCAGGGGGGCAGTGGGCAGAAATGACATGTTTTTTTTCCCTCCAGTCCCTTCAATCCAACCCTAAAGACTCCTTTTTTCCTTTCTTTTTTTAAACTAGTTACTTGTGGAAAGCTTCTAGCATAAAATCTAAAAACCTCCTACACATTAAGCCAGTTATGGCGACGACCCTCTTCTGTTCACGTGGAGCCACGCAACATTTTTCAAAATGTAATGACGCACTCTTACAAAACAAAAATGACGATCACACGATATTGAATGAGGATTGCTTTTATCTTATTAGAGTCTTTCTTTGTTGTTCCAGCCAGGTTTCATACACTGAAACTTGTTTGTTCCACAGGTTTCTGGCAAAGTTAAAGTAGTTCCGAATGGATGCACATGTGCTTTAGAATCATGCTTTACTTAATTCTGATTTACTATAATTAGGACAAAAAGGATTAGTGTCACTTGAGTGGAAGTAGGCCAGGGATTTTTGAGTGTTGGGCCACATTATGTCTCCTTAGTTGTTGTTTTTTTCCCTGCTCTTAGTGTTTTCTCGAAGATTGCTGCTTAGGCCTTCTTTATGGTAAGGACCCGAAATGGGTCTCGTTTAATTTCAGACACCCTTGATAGTTTATTCGAGGTCTGGATTATGTTATTTGCTGTAAAATGAAGGTAAACGGCCTGTTTCGTGTCCCCTGCAGAGGATGAACTGAAGGAGAAGCTGCAGCAGAAGACGGAGTGCTGGTACTCCGACATCAACTACATCTCGACCATCCACATCAACAATGTTCCCAAAGTGGAGGAGCTGCGCTTCGAGTGCCGCCCGGCGCCCGCCCCCCCCCCTCTGCCCCCCCAACCCATGCCGGTCACGGTCATCCCCATCCCCATCATAGCGCCCAACCCGGCGGGCTCCCCGACTCTGCCGGTCACCAAGCTCTCCCCTCCGGCCGCTCCTCCTCTGCTGGCCTCCCCGAAAAGGGAGCTCCCCTCCCCCCGGGAGCAGCAGGCCGCCGCCCCCCC